TCCTTCCCTCGCCGTCCGTTGGGAGCTTCCTGCGGCTGATGGAACATGATAATGATGATGCAAGGGTTTCTGTTCCGTTCTGAACCCTCGGACACGGACCGAAATAGAGAAAGGGGATTCCAGAGTCTATGAATAATCATTGCATCTCCGCCCAGATATGCGGATCGCAGTGCCGTGTTTCCTCAGTCGGCGGTATCCTGTCCCTCTTCGCTCTCGACTGCGTGCACGGCCTACACACACAGGGAGAAGGAACCTACTTTTGCTCTTTTTTTTTTCTTCTTGGCTTTTCCCCCCCTAGGTCTTGGAGTATTGGTCGGTGCACAGAGGCCCTTTTGTATGCCTTGTGTGCTTGGCTCAAAGACAGCCGACTCCTCTCTCCGAGTCGCTGAGACAATCCTGGCCTTATGTTTGTTCACTGGCTCTGGAGAGACGTAAATTTCACGGGTTTCTCTCTAGGCATTTCCCCCCTTCTTTCCCCATTCAACCACATGCTCCATCTGAAAGACTCGGTTGTGTCCCGGATATCTGAAAACGGATGACGTCTCCATCATGAGGACTTCCAGGAGCTGGACCCTATTTTTAGAGTGGAAGTCGTCGTCATCGTCACCATCTGCACGAGTATCTTCCATGTCGATCTCGGATGTCGACATCGGTGTATTCGACCGGGTCGAGAGGGGAGATGTACAACTACTTCTTGATTAGGAGGCTCTTTCCGTGTCTCGGGGGGAACAAATATTGATCAAACTGCTCTCTCCTCTCGTCCGGCATAGGAAAAACTTTTCTTTCACCTATCTATATTGCATTGTAGGGCGCCCCAGGTGCAACGGAGTATTTAATCCCTTCGTGATTGCTTTTCCTAATGGTTTGGGGTTAGACAGGTATATGTAGTTCATGACGGATATACCGGAGCTCGGTTTCCCATCCACATCTCATAAATGGAGGAGTATCCCCAGAGGAGAAAAGGGGGCAAGGGAGAATATCCTCTTGTGGAAAGGGAGGGACATAGGAGAGAGTCTTCCCTTTCTGTCGATATCCTCCTGAATCAAATCTGCCTCGATCGGCTTAGCATTATCTTCCCATTGGGAGAGGGAGAACTCGCTCTACGCGAAATCTTGCGTGGAGGGAGAGCTCTCTCTGTGTCATCCCGTGTCGAGGAACGATTCACTCAAGTGCGTCATCTTGTGTGGAAGAATAATTCATTGTGGCACTTAAAGTCACGTGGCATCTTGATGGGGGGAAAATGCACTCCGTGCAGCTCATTGTGTCGGGGAGAATTCGCTACGGGCCGTGCGGCAACATGTGTAGAGGGAGCACTTCCTCGATGTGGCACTTCGGTTGGATCTCGAGGCGTCGAGATGGGATGTCGTTGGACGTCGCGCTTTGTCAGGTACAAATGCGGAGGGCACGATTGAGGACAATGCACTTGACATAGTGGTGGCTGGCTGGCTGGAATCCGATTGAATGAGGGAGGATGACAAGGCGAGACTTCATTCCCGAAATGACATCCTCCCCCTCCCCTTTACCTTTGCTTTTCGTGCACTTGGGATTCCGTCTGTCCCTGCTCTCCAATCCGTGGAGAGAAGAGGGAGAAAAAAAAAAAAGAGAGGATCCTGCATGCTTGCACTAAATAGTGGAGAGGGAGAGAGGCTCCTATGAAGTCGTGATGTTCCCACAGTGGCTTCCTTTTGACTTGACCCCTGGGCCTTGTGGAGCCGTGTAATCTATCAGTCATTATGTCACCAGGGATCGTAATTTATTGAAACCAACACACTAACCTTAACATCCTTCCTGCCTTCCATCGATCCTCATTACAGAGCGTGTAGTTGACCCCTCCGAAATGCCATTGCTACTTTGCGACCGTTGCAGTCCTGTGTTCCAATTCTCAGCCAGGGTCAGAGATCTTTTCGAGCATCTGATGGTATGCCTTGGCATATTTAAGAAGATTGGAGAATAACTTCCCTTCGGATGAAAATTGCTCGTCGGGGAGAGGAAATTAGCTTCACGTGAGAAGGCTGATAAACTGTTGGGATTTAAAAAATCATCTTCAGGGGCGTTCTGAAAGTGTAAAAGGGGGAGAAGAAAATCGTGATTAGGCAGAATGATTCACCTCAGAGGGGGTCATTTTTGACTCGAGAGCATGAAGAAAAAAAGTCCCCAAGATCATAACGCGACCAACAAAAGCCCCCCATCGTAGGGAGTATAATGGAAACCCTGTGGGTCCTCCCTGTGTGACGCCTCTCATACCACCCCTCTCTCGTTTTATTGACCAGATATTAGATAGATGGAGAGGGAGAAAAAATGCAGCGGAGAGAGATTGGAGGAGTGAAATTGATTGATCGAGTGAGGGAAATTGAAGTCCCCTGCAATATGAGGAACGTCTCCGCGTGTTTTCTTTTGTCCCTTCGCTTCTTCTCGCAGTTTCGTGATTGCTGTCGACCGAACGTGCCGTTATCGATCGATGCTTTCATATATCGAGGCTGCCAAGGTATTTATGGAGTTTTTCTTCGACTGCCCCGATCCGTCTTTCACCCCGGGTCGCATAATGGGAAAGGAGAGCGGAGGGTAATCGCGAGGCCTGAATGGGGGCCCGGGCCCATGCCGATGTACTTCAATGCTATCGAGAGTGATTTCACATTAAGAGGAGGTGATGAATAATCGATGAGGCTTCTACCCTTTTGTGCAGGGGAGATAGGAATCTTCTCTTTCCTCGTCTTCAGAAACAGGTCGGGGATGCAGAATCGAGGCGAGAAGAGAAAGGGCGATGAATGGGGCAATAATAGCAATTGGTGGGAAACCCCGTTTTTTATTCCTTTTTTTGCCTGATGGTGTTGCATGGGATCGATGTCGGCTTGCTGCTTTATTCATGAGTCATTCCTCTTTCCCCGGACGTTCGCGAGGATTTCTCAGCCTCGTTACTCTTCCCTCTAAGATTTTCGTCGTCCCCCCATCGAGGCACATGAATTTGAAATGGCCCGTCGCTTCTCGTCTCGTCTCGCACGTGCCCCCTCGGTCTCGTTTATGAACTGTGGAAACGCTGCGTGGTACGAGGATTCGTCTCTGTCGGAGAGGGTTGATGAACCACGGCCTCTCGCGTGTCTCTGCTGTATATGCACGAAGAGAGAGGGAGAGAGAAGAGGAGGGAGAAAAAAAAGAGCAAAGAAACGAAAGTCGGAGGTTGGGTTTTCACACCTGAGGGAGGGAAGAGGACGTGTACGTATGTCGATTGGGGATGAAAAAAATGGGCCCAGATTACAGGGACGTCCAAGGACGTGTCACGCCTCTTTCTCTCTCTTTTTTTCGCCTTCCCTTCCATAAAAGAATTTCTTTCCCATCATTTTCTTCTAATATCAACTCCCGATTTGAATTTCTGTCGCCGGAAAGAGGAACTCCCTCCATATGTCACCGCGAGGCAGAAGAAGCCCCCCAAAAACTTTCTCTATCCGTTGCTTTTGAACTCTCATTTCCGGCCTGGTGAAGACTTGCTCTCCGGAAGACTTGCTTCCAATGTCCCGGCATTAATAAGGGTGGAGCAGCAAGTTTTCCTCGCTCGTGTCTGCATCGATTCTGGATTCTGTTACTGGGTTCCATCCATCACTCCGATGTCAAGTCCTCTGAGGCTCATAACTCCCCTCTTTTATATTATTCCTCGTCTTTTTCGCTTCTCTCCCCTTCCCCTTCCGTCTCGATTCAAATTCCTTCAGCCCCTGGGATTTACGGACGCCGGAGTTATCTGCATCTCGCAGTTCCCAGTTGTGTAAAACCTGAGGTTGTAATCTCGTGTACCGGGCCGTAACGCGATAGGGATCGTGGCGAAAGAAGACTTTGGGGTCTGCGTAAAAGTCAACCAGGTATCTAGAGGAGTATATCAGTTCGTTCTCGAGGCTTTATAGCTGTCTTCATGTCCCGGTTATATTGCCACATCATCATCTCTCCGGTCCGAAGGTGCCGCCTCCCGAAGATGCAGGTGCCTGGATGCGGAGGAATTTCATTTTCGAATCGAAATTCGCATCTCCGGTTGTTTTGCGCTCCGTATATGGGACGCACCATTCCGAGTGTCTGGCTCGATGCAATCCTCTCGAAAACCGTTCTCTCTGGATCGAACGGATCTGGAGAAGATTGAAAGATCCAATTATGGGGTTCTTGTCAAGGAGGAAGGAGAGAAATCGAAAAGACTGGTCCGGGTGTGTCGTCGTCGTCGGTTTCTCTAAGTTCATTAGCGGCCAATGACAGGCGTAATTAAAGGTGCCCTGGTCCCCCCCTTCTCTTCCTCTTCTCTTTCCCCCTGTCTCCTCTTGATGAGCTGGGCTTGTCCTCAGACTCCGTAGGGAATTCCCTGCACGACATCATTTTTTCCTTCTCTTCCGTCTCGTCTGTTTCGCTCCCTCTCGTGATATTCATGCCCGAAATACACACACGAGCTACCGTCGGGCTCGGGCTCGTTCCATCATCTCCTCGGTTGAAGGTCGGCAGTAATCATGGTCATTTCGGACGGTAACCGACTCTTTCTTCTGGAGAGACCATTAAAAAAAGACAAAAAAGAAGTCGTAAACTCGGCGATAAGGGAACTACCCATTCCCGGTACGTTCGGTCGAGCAAATAGGTTCTTTTTACGAGTCGAAAGTTCCCGTGGACTCCGTGGCGGAAGTCGACGAGGAAAGATGCTGGTGCGTGTGGCATTGTGCGACGAAGAAAAAAAAGAGGAAGGAATCTTCACGTGTGGGTCGTTAAGGACGGGGACTGATGTCTCAAGGGTGCTAAATGGCAGATGCCAGGGTGACGTCTGTTGGGGAAACAACGCCAGGAAGCGATCAACTTTTCATCTCCTCCTTAGAGACGGAGGGAATTTATGTCAGACGAGCCAAAAGTCTCCTTTCCCTCCGTAAACAGGAGAAGGGAAATCCAGGAGCAATAAGAAGGGGCGTGGGTGACGAAATTAGAGCTCTCGAAATAAAAGGGATTCGCGGTTCGGCTCTGGAGAGTGGACAGGGGATGGACAGCGGATGGACAGCGGATGGACAGCGGATGGACGCCTGGAGGGTCCGGATGGCGGTTAGACTAATTACATCCAAAAGTCCTAAATATGAGTGTCCATCTCTCACGCTCGCGCTCTCTTGCTCTCTACCTATAATCAAGGGAACGCGAGGAAGAGATGAAATAAGAGAGTCGCGGTGACAGAATAGAGCTATCAAAGGAAAGGGTTCTCGAATTCTCTTTTTGAGTACTGGGGATGGCCAGCGATGCCTGGAGGGTCGATATGACGTCAGGCTAATAATATCAGAGCCAGAGTATCAGATGCTCTGTGATTACGCTGTCTCGGGGAGGTGCAGTAATGGTTGGGTTGCATGTCCGCATCTTCTCTCTCTGATGGCTTTTAATTCCCCTCCCAGCCTCCATCTCCAAGATGGGGGGGAAAAGTTTTTCCTCGGTACGGCTGGCACCGTGTAGCAATAAATCAGAAGGGGCCTTTCTCATATCATGCCTAGAAAGTGTCCCCGAGTTGCATCGATCGCAGGGAGAGAGATTTCTTCCTTTCTCGTGCGTCGCGGAACTTGGCCATTCCTTCGATGTTCCTAGTCGTTACAGGCAGGTTTCCCACGGGTAAAAAAGCCGCCACTTCCCTACCTGCCTGCCTGTCTGTCCATCTAATGACCCATATGAAGAAGGAGCAGGTTTCATCGATGTAGGGGGGAGGGAAAGCAAGAGAAAGGCAGGAGGAGACAAATGGGCCAATTACCCGTGCTAGAAGCCTGGGCCCTATCGGAGGAGAATCTGTTTTCATGCAAGAATTGATAAACAGGGAGCCGTGTTGTGCGTACGGTGTACATCGTACAAGGAGGAAGTCCATGTTCTCCTCGTTCCTTATCGTAATGGCGATTTGGCAGAGTTCCCAGCCATTACCAGCTTCTGCAGGCTGGTAATGGGTGGCGAGTAATTACGATCCAGAAAAGGTTTCTTCCACCCTCGCGTCGTCTCCTCGATGCATGGACGCATTTCGGTACGTTCGCCGGATCGCGGGGGCTGATGAATGTCTTTGGTCGCGGGGAAGGACACGGGGGACGCATTACTCCATTAAGGAAGGAAGGGGTTGTGTCACGAGGCTCCTCCCCCGTGCTAATTGAGGGACTGTCAACAAGACGAAAATTGACTGATATTCCCTTTCCCCCCGAAATTATCTTCCTCTGGGATCGGGACCGCGTTGGAAAAACAGGCCTCGCTCCGGATGTCCTCTGTGGCAAATCTTGCCGATTCACCCTGGAATTCTCCCGTCCGTTTTATTTATTTATTTTCCCGTTGCTTCCTGGGAACTCCTGTCGATGGAGCCGGGAAGGGAGAAAAAGAAGAGCGAAAAAATCCGAAGCCCTCGATTGTCTTTCTCGTTGGACCGTTCCGGCGACGGAGGGACTTGTCTAAACAAGAGCCCTTGATTCGTTTTTCCTCGCCGGTTCAATGAGATTTTCTTGGAGGAGAGAGGGAGCTCGTTAGAGAAGTTCTCTCCAGAGGGAACAGGTCGCTAATGACGTCTCTGTCGAGCCCGGGGATGAAACACGATTCTCTCCATAGACCCAAGAATAATGAGGATTCCTATGCCGAGGAGGAACCTCCACACCCTTGGGTGCATGGAGCATGGCAAGTCAGGCGTGGAATAGAGACCGAGAGAAAGGTCGTGATCGAACGGACGGAGAGAACTGACCTTGACGAGCCGACCTTCGGGCAGTCGTAATCATCCGTCGATGCAGTCTCCGTTTTCTTTTTTCTTTTATTAACACATCCCTCTCGTCTGACTTCATCGACGGGGATCGTCCGGCGGTTTCTTAACCGTAATAGCCGGGTGTAGTAAGAGAGGGGAAGGGGAAAAAAGACGTGAGGTGCGGATGGAGGAGAAAAAAGAAAGAAGGTGTTAGGGTATAGGCCTAAATGTCTGGAAGGCTCGAGGGAATGGCCCTTCTTTCTCACCTTCCCAAATTCCTCCTCGGGGCTCTAACTCCAGAGATTTATTATCTTCTTCTGCCTTCTTCCTCCTCTTCCCCTTCTAACCCCCCCCCCCCCCCCTCCTTTCGGGCCTTCTCTCTTTCTTCATTACATGCCGCCGCATGCACATGTCTGCCTTTGGTTCTCACCTTCGTGAGTCTCGTAGATGGCTTTTCGTTAGGCATTCTTGGTTGTCGTTCGTTAGATGCGCGGAGAATGTGCTGCGTAAAAATCCATGGCGCCGCCCTTTTTTTCTACTTTCGGTCGGCTAATTATTATTACATTGCGTTGCTTTATTTTTTAACGACACGCATAACCGTGTCCGTGCATGCAGATCGGAAGATGAAGTCGGGGAAAAGAAGGGAGGGGAAACTGCTCCTCCTCCTCTGCAGATGAAGAGAGTCTTGGCTCGGGGATAATTTTGATGGATGAAGTGTCGACTATGGGGCATATCGGGACGTGTGACATGATCCATTCCTGTAGGAGGGTTTCAGGTCTTCGAAAGAGGACTCTGACTCTTAACTCTGGAGTCCTTCCAGCACTTGACATGACACCGCCACGATCACACGCACCCACAGACACACGGTGGAACTTAGAGGAGGAGGAGGAGCGTGCAGATTCTTTTTTGAGTGGATCTGCCACACAGTTCGTGCTTTGAAGAGGCTTCATTTCATCCGGGGCTCATTCCTCGGTTCTCGATCGCCAATAATACGCTTTACTTACTGATAAATAAGCAAACGATCCTGATAAACTCTTTCTGCATGGTGCTGTGCTCTTGCTTTTTAAAATGTTGTTTATTCGTTACGTAGTTACTGATGTGCTTGTTTCGTTGTGTGTTTTGCAGAGCGTCCCGAGTACCGAACGGCGTATGCTTGCGAGGGTTCTACTCTGAGCCTGGAATGCGAAGCCGGCCACGTGATTCACCTCATCCGTGCTAATTACGGCCGGTTCTCCATTGCCGTCTGCAACGACCACGGGAACACCGATTGGAGCGTTTCCTGTACTTCCCCGAGATCTCTCAACATTCTTAACGAAAGGTAGGGTCTTTCACCTGAAAAAAAGAGGAAAATTAACTACAAAAGAGAGTCAGTGACCAGCAGATGGTCCGAGCCTCCATTGTCCAGCCGAGTCTCGTAATGAAATGAAATAACTCATCTGTTCTCATCCTAATCAATTTGAAAGTCGCCGCCTCGAGGAGAAGCGAACCGAGTTTTCTCCGAGGACTTCTTACTTCGCATCCGGTACAGAGAGATATAAGGACTTAGGGAGAGGAATAGACGGGATCCGAGGCTGTCAGAGTCGATGAGGTGAAGATTAGGGGAAAGACCTTGATTGCTCTGGCAGGTTTCTCTCTCCTTTCATCACCACATGCCTCTTCCAATCTTCTTCCTCTTCATCGTCTCGTCCGTGCTCGTCCTTTTTCTTTTTCCCCCCCTCCGCCACCCCGGCCTCACGTGTCCACGTGGACGTAATAAATGGCTTTTCGAATCATCTCAATTAATAAGGGTGATGCATTTTACATCGGGATGCCCGCACGTACCGTATCGTAAGCAGACGGAGCGGGAAGGAGCAAGGGAATGGATATATTGTTATGGAAACACAATAGTCGATCGATCATCATCCGGGTTGATGATGGAGTTTTGTGCAGAGGGTGGTCCATAGGCACAATATGCATTCATTCCATCATTGACTTGTCCCTTCCCGTCTTACTTATGCTTGCATGCAACCCCGTTTCTATGCAATCTAAAAATGCGTCAGAATACGCGATGAAGAATGACAGTCATCCTTTACCTTCGTCCAAATTACCCCCCCCCCCCTCCCCCTTCCATTGGTTATATTCATCGTGCAGCTATCGATTCGATTTCTGCGATGCTTTTTCCTCTTTTGTCTCCATCGTTTCCTCAAATAAGCCCAGAGGGATTTTATGATGGAGAAACCGAGAGCAATTCAGGGGTAAGAGAGATGGATCCTCGATGTTTTAACGCCTCTTCTATCTTCGCTCGTTCTTTCTTCGTTCTCTCTCCCCCTCTGTGTCTGCAATCAGATCGGATGAGGGGGGGGGGGATTGAATGTGTCGCCCCGAAGCCCTGGGGCTTCCCATAATTTTATTGCCTTAATCACGCGCATAGTTGAATTACAGGCGGCGATTCATCTTTGCATGATATTAAAGTAGAGGGAGGAGGGAAGAAAGATGGGACTTCATCCGTTTTCGATGGAATTACCGACCCAAAACCCACTTGCATTGTGTAATCTCGACTCCTTTTCCCGATGCGACTAACCGAGTTAGGCTTTAACTCTATTTTCTGTGCGTCTCCCTTCCCCCGTGCGCCCTCATGAATTTCCGATGATGATCCATTGTCGGTTTCCTCGTCCGCCATTGTCGAAAACTTGGCACTCGGTCATGCCGAGCGGAAGACCATTTCGTCGACGTTTCACATGTTTTCTTCAAAAGTAAAAAAAAAAAGGGAGGGATCTTTTCTGTGCCTCCTCCCAACTGGAATGGGGGAGTCCCCCCCTCCACTGATTGCCTCATGTTTACGTCCTTTTTTTTTCTGTGCCGTGTCTGTTTCCATGTCTGCATGGGGCCGAGCACAGGAGACAGAGAACTCCTTTTTTTCCCCCCCCCCCCTCCTTCCTCTTTTGGAAGTGCAGTATGTCAGAATGTGCGGAAGAGAGGGATTACTCAATCGCAGACTCGTGGTCAGAGTGGGAATGCAAATCAGGCGTCATTAGACTGTAATGCGAGAACCCCCGGCAATTGCCCATTACAGTGTGCCGGGCATTAATCCTCTTGCAGTTCCATTCCAGCATTATTTTTCTTCCTCGCCGCACACTCACCTTTGCGGTCGGGACTCCGATCTGCCTTCTTTTTGTCATTTTTTCACCGTGTAGATGGTTTTTTTTTTTCTTCCGTTTAGAAGGGCATAAATTTTGCTACCAATTTCCCCGGGGTTCATTACAGGAGTTGCCGACCGAGACGAGGTTTTTTTTTTTTTTTTTTAGATTGGAGCTTGATTATTCCCATTCCACCGGGGTAATATACCTGAACTCGTATAATACGGGAACCCTATTTCATTATGGAGTACGAAGGAAAAAAGGGGAGGAGAAAAAAAAAAAGAAGAAAGAAAGATGGAGGGAGGTTGGATGATAAATTGGCGGAGACTTTTATTATTATCCAGGGGTGGGGGTAGGGGAATGACTCAGGGAGATTTTGCAAGGTTTTATCTGGGCATCTGCCCCTCATAGTCCCAGGTAATGAGCCTGAGATTTCTCCTCATAATCCCTCCTCTCAATGTGGTGCCCCCGAAATGCATTCCGGCCAGTCATCATCGTCCTAAGAGCGAGAATCACGGGGTATATATAAAGGAACATAGAAGTAAAAAAAAAAAAGTGAAGAAGCAAAAGAGCCGACACCCTGCCCCTTGGCAGGAATTCATTCATTCGGGTTCATGCAGAGGACTCTGTCGGATGAGACGGGTGACATATGATGGTTGGATTGCCAGCTTTTTCATCTCTCCCTTTCCGGATAATTATCTGGGGATGTGATGGAATGGTAGGTGAGAGGGGGTGATCCATCATGTGACCGGAGGTTTCTCCATAGAGCACCTCCAGGACCACTGACCGACCAATTTCCTTAATGGCTTGTTTAGAACAATAGCGCTTCGACGTTGCTCGCATACGGGATCAGGGTTTTCACTCTGACTCATCCTCTGGGACCTCGAGGGTCCTCAGAGGACCTCGAGGGACCTCTGGGGAACGACCAGGTTTTTTTTTGTTGAATATTTGCTGCGGTGGTGCATGCACGCGGAAAAGTTGTTCTTGGCGCAGTAGGGGTTCCCGGACAGAGACCTCTTTGTTTTGGGTTTCTTCTGCTCGTCTGGGAAGGGAGAAAAGTCGATACCCTCATGTTTTGAATGGTATGCGGAAAAAAAAAATAACTGGGTGAAAAGCGGCCGATGATGGACAGTATCTATGGCGAGATGGAGCACGTATCTCATGCAATACGTGTCTGTCTTCATTCTTTTCATTTTTTTTCCTTTCATCTTTCTTCCCTCGATGGGAGGCGAGCAGGAGGGGGAAGACGATGAGGATTTGAATTTCATGAACTCGGGGCTCACCTTAAATGATGTTGACTTTATCATGTTATATGGCTTAGCCTTGCCCATCTATCGTCTCGTCCATTGAGTTGTTGCCCCGTCCAGCAAAAAGACTTTTTTTTTTTCCTCGGGATCCTTCCGACTCGCGGGCCGCGGTCTCGAGACGAGAGCAGACTGCCGAGTTTCGCAACGAGGTGTCAGTGTCTGATTTGCATTAACTTGGGCGGATGGGAGGGAAAAGGAAACGAAGGGAAAGTGAATCCTTGTTAACCTCGGTCAGACGGCGTGGGCGGCTCTTTTTTAATGAAATCCTCGAATTCATGTTCCTCGCTGTCCCTATTGTAGGTCTTAAAAAAAGGAAGTGAAGATTCATTCCCCCTGAATGGTAGCCGCGACTCATTCATGTCAAGGTCGGCTTTCTTCCTCTTCGTCGCGAATTTGTACCCCATTGTGTCTCGGGGCTTCTGGGATCTTTCCTGAATAAAGCCTAAATAGGGTTGTGGAAGGTACAGGATGATGATGATGATGATGATGATTCACGTCGGGATCTTTCACAAGACCGTCTCGTCAAAGACGGGTTTTCGATGATTGGGCCGGCTTGAATGAACGACCTAACGAACAAATTCGGGCTTCGCATCGAGGTCCATCCGGGTGTGAAAATGAGAGGTGAAAATGAATGTTCAGATGGGGGGAGGTAAAAAAAAAAGGAAACCCATGATGATGTATTCGAATGCCCTCTCGTCCATCTTCCGCGAAGTCAGACACGGCCGTTTCGCAACGCCGATCCATATCCTCCCTTCGTTTCTCATTTCAGGAATTACTTTTCCTTATTTTTTTTTTCGTTTTTATTATTTCGAGCGTGGTGTTTCTTTTCGTGATGCAGGTGTGGGAGCGTGTCGGAATGCACGCTACACGTGAGTAGTGAGATCTTTGGAGACCCCTGTCCCGGGACCCACAAATACATCGAGGTGCACTTCTCCTGTGCTGTCGGTCCGTTTCACCTTTTGTTTTTTTTTGTTGTTTATTTAAGTTACGCATGTTTTAGATTTTTTTTTGGAAACCCCCACATCTCCGGCGCGAATGCTACTAACGACAGGATTGGAAGCACTGGGCTTTGTTCCTGGCATCTGCCCCTGATTGAATCTTGTCTTCTCAATCTTCTGCCCTCTTTCACCCTTTCTTTCTCCGGGGATGGAGAGAGAAAAAAAAAGAAGAAAAACAGGGAACACGCGTCTCATCTGGGGTCCCTCGCCCCCGAAACCGGACGTTGCACCTCTGTTTCTTCTCTTTTCGGGCTTTTCTCGTGTTGCATCGGTTTTTCGCCGTCTGTCCTTGCCCTTCGGTGACAAATCGGTGATCTGGGTGAAAGGCCTTTTATCTTTTTCCTTCTTATTGGCCATGACGAAAGGTGGAAGTGTGTGGCGGGGGATTCGATGTCGGTGAAAAATCGCCACGGAATGCTTGATAATCGATCATGCCAGGCCCCCTGGGGGCCCCCTCATGCTCCTTTTTTTTTTCTTCTTCTTCTCCGTCTTCCGTATGTCTCTGGTGCGTAATTTTTTTCTTCTTCCTCCCCTTTGGTCGTTCCGTCACGCGACCGGTTCTCTCTCGTTTCTCGGCCGGGGAAAGTAGGCCGGATCGGGGGGCAATCGAAGGCGTTCGAAATCGATCGTGAAATCGAGGAAGGTCCTCTGCCGCTCCACCCTGAGTCAACAGGGAGAAATTGGGTCCTTCGTGGGTGTGAATTTGTGAAAGGGGGTTAAAAGATCCGCTCACGTGCGATGTCCGAGGACAAAAGAGCCATGTTACACATTGGCAAGTCACCGAGAACCGATTAGCCATCGCACATGGAACTAAGTAGTGGACTCTCTCTTCTTTTCATCCGGACTGAGGAAGTGGAAACAGAGCCATGCATGGAACTAACGGACTGACACCCTTTTCCTCTCTCTCTCTCTTTTTTTTTTATCTCATTAATTGCTTGCCTGGATTTGCCTGGATTTCCCTCCTCTTCTGTCACATTGGAGATGTGGGGGTGAAGAGAAATGTGCGGTGAGGGTCACGTCCCGCCTCTTTGGTGACCCTTGTCCCATGACCCCCAAATACCTGGAAACTCAATTCCAGTGTCAATCCAGTGAGTCTGTCTAATTCGTTTCTCTGAGGAAAAAAAAAATCATGAAAAATTAATAAGGAAAGTTCCATGCTTCTCAATCCGTCGACAGTCGAGAGTAGAAAAGCCCTCGAGAATGGAATCTAATTGATGTCTAGACAGTTTTTTTACGACCCAATTTTCCCTCAAACTCCATCATCGTCATGATCGTGAGGATTCTACTGCTTACACAAGAGATTGATTCCTTTTTTTCCCCTCTCTCTGGTTGATTGCTTCTCGTGCTTTTACGAGGCCCTTAAGCAGGTCACCTCGGCTTCGTCGCCCGGGGATGCAAATTTTCGGGGGAGTGCGAGCGTGTCTGTATGTCGAAAAAGAGGAGCCGAGAAGATCAAAGAAGTCGTTTGCATTTATATTAGCCTGGCCTTCCTCCATCATTCCCCCCGGGTCGATGGCATATCACGGGGCATCACACTTTCCAGAAGAGAAAGGAAAAAAAGATCTCAATATTGTCATGAAGGAGGCGGGCGATTTGGCAAGATGACGGTTCGGCTCGATGACGGCTCTCTCGTTTCATCGAGTCCGAGTCTCTAAATTCATCGTTGTGCCGAAATTAAAAGAACCATCCCCGTTAAATGATTATGACGACGATGATGATGATGAATTGGCGGGAATTGATTAAGTAGTGACTCGCAATATGTTAAAATGCTTCCCCGCAGAGAAAGTGTTGAGTAATTGGGGACGTGATGGCTTTATCTGCATTGCGAGGACCCGCCTCGGCACGGGTGAAAATAAAAAGAGAAGGGAAAATGATCATCTGTTCGATGGGGTAGTTTGCTCTCGACGATCGACAAGTAATTGATGGGTTGATGCCACCGATGAACTGCAGTGGTTGAGTGATGGCTCTTGATGGATTTTTAGCCGTGCCAACGACACCGACGAGCCGTCCGCGGCCACCCCTCTTCCTCACGCCCAAGTGGTTGAGTCAGACCCCCACGAGTACGAGTGCGAGTACTAGTTCGAGTACGAGTACGAGCACGAGCGCGAGCACGAGCGCGAGCACGACGACCACCACAACCACAACCACGTCGACGACCACCAGCACCACCCCCACCCCATCGCCATCGGCCGCCGATGAGCGTCCCCCGGCCACTACGCCCCACGGGGCTCTCATGAGCAACGACATCCAGGAGGTGTTGTCGTTGGATGGGGACATCCCACAGGAGGAGGTGACGACCCTTCGTTATGAGGTTCACGAGATCCCGGAGGACTCTGACGACAAGTTTAATGGTAGGTCTCACCCTGTTTCGTGTGGAAAAATACACCGTGAACGGATTTGTAAATGGAAACATTTATATTCGTTAAAATGAAAATATTGTCTTGCCAATGGTAAACGATCGAAGCGTCTGTTTAGAGAATTTAAGTGGACGAGTGTCCTGGAATTTTCAGAATGGACCGAGGGAGCTGAGGGGGCAGAGGACGATGAGCTGCTTCCAGAAATGCCATCTCCATCGTCTTCCTCTTCCTCGACGCTGAGTTACGAGGACGTCTCCCTGTTGGAGGGATCTTGTGCCCCGAGAGAGGCAAGGAATCTCTCGTGGAACTGGACGGTGGACGGAAAGACGGCCGCTCAGCCGTGTCCCGGTGGGGCGACCGGATTGGCCAAATGGCACTGCCAACATGGCACGTGGTCGCCGGAATCCCCCGATCTCAGCCTGTGCAAGTCTCTCTGGCTCACCAGTCTTCAGGCCAGAGTGAGATCCCAGTCTCATCCCGTCTTCTCGTCTTCGGAATCGAAACAGAAATTCTGATCGTTTTATGCTCGACTTCACAGTTGACGGAGGGAGAGTCGGCTTCGAGCGTGGCGAACGACCTGGCTCAGGTCACCCTGAGTAAAGGCCTATACGGAGGAGACACCCTGGCCAGCACGGGGCTCATCCGGGATCTGGCACAGTCTCTCGTCGCCTCTGATTCACCTCAGGTTGGTTCCGTAATTACGGGTCTATGAGTGAAAGTCCATATTCGCATTCCGTGAAATCCATCTGCATGACAAAGGAAGTGCAGCATCACTTGAGACCTGTTTCTTCATAGGTTTCTGAGGTCTTGGCAGCCGTGGTGAAGGCCGGATCTCATCTGTTGGGAAAAGCCCAGCGATTGTCATGGTTTGACCTCAGCCTGGCCCAGCAAAGAAAAGCCATAACTCAACTTCTCGTGGCACTGGAGGAAAATGCTTTTCTCTTGGCTAATTCCTTTGCAGAAGAGCGGAGGATCATCATTTCGAAGGATCATATCTGTAAGCACATTGCCTAAGTGGAAGAGAAAAAAAAGGGTTTTAGGATGCATTGAAAAGACGGGCATGTGTTTTGAATTCCAGTGACTTCGGTGCAAGCGATCTCGGCACATAACTTTCAAGATGCTGTATTCCCCGGAGAATACGAAGTGCAATTCTGGAGTCACGATCCATACGTGTCGATTCGACTCCCAGCTCAAGCACTTCTCCGCCATTCCCGATCGGGACTCACCAAACTCGTGTTCTTCCTCTATGACGGGTTGGAAGAGATCCTCCAAGGATCCGAAGCACAGAAGCAGATGGGAAACGGGAAGCACGGGAGTCCTCTGGTGCTGAATAGCAAGGTGGTCTCCGCATCCCTCGGAGAGGGGAGACACATCGAGCTTCCCGAACCGGCCACCATCGTCTTCACGCACCTGCGTCAGAATGCCACGCACCCGTCTTGTGTCTTCTGGGATTATACTCAGAGGTGAGATGAAAGGTCCCGCTCGGGTACACGGTCTCTATGAATCGGGACGGTCTGACATAGTCGGGGAAATGGGACGAAAAAGTTTGCTATACTGGTTATATCCAATCGCAGCCAATTGCAAAGGGAGTTTAAGCTTGTACGTGGAAGGTGGAGGTAGTAAGCAAAGACGCAGATTTTTGTGTAAACCCTGAAACAGGCAGAGATCAAGTGGATATCACAAACTATGGGACGTGGGAAAACTGACCCTGCCGAGGAGGGATATTTTAATGCCCACACTGAATCAGAATTTCTCATGAGACCTTCCAGGCTGCTTCAAGGTGATCGTGTCCTTCCGCACTCGACAGTGTCCCCACAAAGCTGGCCAAGGCAAACACATGGGGGATCTATACAATAGAATAGGATCATTGATAGAGACAGGATGTTGGGAGACAGGATGCTGGGATGTTTTCATAATGATGTCCTTTTATAATCTCTACTCTCATTGGAGAATCGTGAACAATGCAAGAAACAAGTGGCATAACCCACATCATCATTTCTTATATGTTGCCAGGATTCAGAAAAGAGGGTGTTGGTATGCTATATTCTGGGGAAAAAAAGAAGCGGAGTAGGGAAATAACAACTCATTCGTGATCAAATTTCCTTTATAGCTGGTGGTCGGATGAAGGGTGCCGAGTGGTGACGGGGAATGCCACTCATACCGAGTGTGAATGCAATCACCTGACCAACTTTGCCCTGCTCATGGAGCCAGTACCAGAATCACCGCTCGAGAGTCCCAACACTTCCCTGAACGTGATGCTCATTATTGGATGTGTAGTCACCTGCCTCTGCCTGGGATTTGCCGTCGCTTCCTTTTGGGTCTTCCGCTCGCTCAGAGTCAGTTACTTAGCCGATTTCTGGAAGAATTGCCATCGTTGATCAGAAGGGAAAGGATTTAATCGTCTGTTGTATTTTTTTTTTAGAGCAATGATACTGCCATCTACCAAAACCTGTGCATTTGCACCTTGGTCGTGGAGATCTTGTTTGTGTCTGGAGGGAGAGGAACAGGGAACGTAGCTGCATGCAGCACGGTTGCTGGTCTTCTCCATTTCTTCTTCCTCTGTGTTTTCTTCTGGATGTTCTTTCTTGGTGAGTTCCGTCCCCAAGTTCTGTCTGCAAGACCCCTTCCCTTTCATTCCCCAGGAATTTCAACGCTATACTTTTTCATGGATATAGCCTTCAACCTGTACCTGGCAGTGGTTCGATCTCCAGTCTCTGAGAAGTCTCATCTCAAGTGGTTCTATGCCATTTCATATGCCTGCCCTGCTTTGATCGTGGCCATCTCATGCATCGTCGATCCCAGCAGCTACGGAACTGCATCTCACTGTTGGCTCCGGGCTGATAATTATTTCATCTTCAGCTTCATTGGACCTCTCATCTTCGTGCTTGTGGTACGTCAACACAAAACAAAACGTCTTCCTTGAGTAGCTGGTGGGTCTCTCCATACATCTGGCTGATCCATTTTTTTCGTATTGTAGGCCACAATTGCAGCTCTAGGACTGTCCACCTACTCCATCTGTTCAGAAGAATATGAAAAGAGTGGAATGCCAAGCAAGATGGAGATGCACAGGTAAAAACTCTTTCTATCTCCACTGCATAGAAAGAAGTGTGCTGTGTTCAAAGTATCTATGAAGAGGCTGTCCTTATTTTTTACAGACCCCAGCTGAGAAATACCTACATCCTGTTTATGCTCTTATCACTCACATGGACATTTGGACTGGTCTATCTCTATCAAGAATCGCCAGTGATAGTTTCCCTTTTCACAGCTCTTAACATCCTCCTTGGAATTTATCTCTGCCTCATCACATGTGCTTGCAATGAAGCTGTGAGTTTTTTTGCTGACATAGTATTACAAAGGAAATTGAATCCTTGAGCCAAGAAGGATAATGATAGGGGTTTCTACCATCTGTTCAAGCAGGTGCAGAGCAAGTACCGAGACTGGGCTCAGTACAGTGAATGCCTCCCACTGTGCTTCAATGGATCTGGTGACAAAGAAAAGCCTTATCTGGCCAATAATACAGCTCTGCAACGTGTTCACACTCAGCCTCTAGGAACCATGCCCCCTGGAGCTGCCCCTATCCTCAGTCTTGACAACTCCCATCTGATTGTAAGAAATGCTTTTATTGTGATCTTTGGCAAAATGACCTTTCTATAAGTGGAGATAATTAAAGATGCCATAATCTATTTACAGGCATACCCAGTGATAGCAGGATGCAACACCCTGCCTCACACCCCATGTGCCCGCATCACGGTGAATCAGCTAGAGAGTGTTCTTCATGGTGTGCCAGTCTCACACCCACAGGTCATCGAGACCGAGGAATACTCGACCAAGAGCCTCGGACACGACTCTGGACACGGGAGTTCGGAACAGGAAGATTCTCCCCACCTGCATACATGCACAGGAAGCCTGAGACATGGCACAAACAATTGGCGTATGGTCTACGGCACGGCTCATCATCCCCACCATCATCACCTTTTGCATCATCACCACCCCAGGGCTCCCTCAGATGATTCTGGTTGCTTCATCCAATGGCCTCAAGTGGATCCAAAGTTGTCACGACAAGGAGCAAGGCAGAGAGGTCTCATTCATGTTGACCAGCATGGCAGAAGGCATCTCTATGTGCCAAAAAATCACATGCATCGAGCAGGAAGTCCTTGGAACCACACGTACACAGAGATCGACCTGAACCGAGAGAATGATCCCGTCTATGCTGAGATCGACCATCAGCAGCTGCAACAGCAGAGACTCGCCGAGCTGAGCGACCTGAGCAACGTCAGTCGACAATCGTCTCGAAGCTGTAGTGATCACAAGCCCCTCATCCCTGTATCTCATCATGAATGCAACCTGGTGGATACCATCAGTTATGCCATGGGGTCACCCAAGCTCAAGAGCAATGGAGGGAAGCAGCATCAAAGCTGCTTGAACAACATTGTGCTCAATCAGAGTCCCAATCACATGTCATCTCCTTTGGAACTGCCTGCAGGCATGACGTCTGCTCAGATGGTCAGTCAAATCTGACTAGAAGCAGGAAGAGACAGACTTGTGTGACCCTGACCATGCCAATCGTGATAGGAACTTGTGAGAAGACTGTGATAACTCTTTTCTGTTTTTCATTGCCTCATAATTTTTTAATAATTCCTTTTACCTCCAGCAGAAACTCCACTTTCCATGAATCATGGAGACTGTGATTGTGTGCTTGCATGGAAAAAGTGACAGAGCATGTGTTTCTGTTCTGGTGCCACGGGCTACCTTATTCCTTTGTTTTTTTTTTATTTTTAATAAGTTATTCAGTGAATGATGAGTATCTCATGTGTGTTGTACACTAGTCAAATGTTATACTTTGTGCGGGAATGGGAGTAAAAATGTCCCTTTTAAATGAGATAATGCCTTTCTTTAGATGCTTTCTAACTCATCATCTTCAATGTTCCTGTAACCTTTAAGGGAGGCAGTAGGAAGAAAAACAAAAGTGAAAAGCAAATCATAAACAAACTGTATTCATCACATATATGGAAATATCTCCTGGGAAATATAGTTGGGGGTTGAGATCATGTACCCTCATCATCACTCCAAGCATCTTGCATAGCAGATACTGTAGTTGTTGTGGTGCATTTCTCATCAGAATTGGCTGTCTCCTCATCCAGTTCAGGAATTGCACTCCACACTAGAATTGTTCTGTCCCGTCCTCCACTGTAAAGCTCTTGATCTTTCTCACGGAAAACACAGCAATTAACAGAATTAAAATGGCCAAGTAAAGTCTTCACTAATGCTCCTGTCCTAGTATTCAACATGAAGATTTTTCCCTGTGATGGGACAAAAATAAACTCTGGTCGGCTGTTGTTCGCAATGGCCATTTCAGTGTGCTGACTGCGTTCCGTTGGGATGCGATTGAAGCAAACTGACTTTTGGAGTCCTGTCACCATGCTCCATACTCGAAGTTGATTATCAGTCCCTAAGGACATCACTTCCAGACCAGACTTCATGAAGGAAATTCCATTCACATAACCTTCATGGGCACGACTAAGGTCTTTGTGCGTTGGCTTCATGTTTGTGCCTTTCCGATCAAAGGCTAGCAGACAGGTTTTTGTGCATCGCACATCCCAAAGCAGGAGCTTACCATCACAACCACCAGTTGCAAGGAAGAATTCATTTACAGGAGACCAACAACACACGATTGCAGGCTCTCTGTGTCCTCTTAGTTCATGCACAGCTGATCCCTTCTTCAAGTCAAACATCTTTATCACAGGTGAACGGGAACATGCTGCAAAAATAAAAGCAATTTAATCAGAAAGTGAAACCAGGATCATCTTGACAATAGATCTAACATTACCAATGTAGGATCACAGTCACAATACCAATGCAATGGTTGAGATATCCATGAATTAGAGATCCATTTCATCAAGATGACTCAGACTTGCAAGGTTGGACATTTTCTTTGAAGATGAACTTTGTTTGGAACAGATTAGCTTAAAGTTGGGCTCCATATATGGGACTTAGATAAGAGAATCTTATACTGCATGAAACCTTAGTAGGTGCACCATTCAGTGATATTCAAATAAATATTTACAATTCCCAGAATATCCACCCCTCAGCCATAATGGTTACAGTGGCAAACATCATTTGCAAGAATAGTGCATCTATCACAGGATTCATGATTCCAGTTCAAGATTTACATCCTTGCCTTCGAGGAACTGAGTCACATGGATTTTGTGGATGAGAACTACAGGAGTTCTCTCCTGTTCTCTTTGATAGAACAAGAGTTCAAGAGTAAAAAGGGGATTCAGATTTAACCTGACTTTCTCAGAAATGAGGAGCAAAGATTGAGAATTGAATAGAGAATCTCTCTCTTATTGTCTCATGAGTGAAACCTCTAATCATTTGCATGAAATAATAGTTACAATGAGATTCAATGTTCCATTTTGAGATTTGAATCCCATTCCAGGAGTCAAGTTAATAGAATCTTGCATGAATTACCATGGAATTCCATTGCATGATTCTACTCTCATCTCATAGACAGGAATCAAATCCAATCTAAATACCAAAATAGAGGGGCAATTCTAAGAACTGATTTTTGGATTCAAAAACAATGGAATGAGAGATCCAGGGTTTAGGCCTCAGTATTGATTTAAAACTTGTCTGTTGCTGAATACAGAGACAAAAAGGACTAAAAGCTGCATGTATTTCAGCTCTTACCACCATGTATCTTCTACCTTTCAAGTATTAAGACTTTCATGGCAGACAGTGGGTGATTTTACAACACTAACCCATGTGGTCTCAATATAGTTCCCTATCTGTAAGGAATTGGTATGGACATTGGTCAGTCCATGATGCAAAAAGCAACTAGAACTTTATCTGAGCATGCAAACTGAAAGTGAAATCTTAGTTGTTTATTTTCAAAGAAGCTGTAGAACTGAAGCCATGGTAGTTCTGTAAGCAAGGGGAAAGAAGTGCTTATGATTTACTAATAGCAAGCATCACACTGACCAAGTAATTCATCTGGTTAATAGTTTCTCATTCAATTTTCCCCAGTTACATGAGCAGAAATGAAAGACTATACATGTTATTACTTCTACTCACAAGACTCAACATAACTCACATAATTTGGTCCCTTTTTAGATTAGTGGGGTAGCACCCATGCCATTCAGAGTACTTCTTGGTAGCTCTTTCATTTTGTTCAACATGGGACAAAGTATGTCTCCACGCTGAGCATTTCTCACTGAAACAAACTAAAGATATTCCTAGTCTAGAATCCCCACCTACTCCATATTATAGACGTTGACTCAACATTCTACACTGAAAAAAGAAAATCCTTCCTATCCATTGCTTCTCTCCAGCCAGTTGCAGGTCCAACATGAATTACTAGTGCCCCCATCTTCCCCGTGACTGTTAGATGAGTACTACCACTACTACCCCAGTCACTGAATAAGAACAACTGTCACCCCTTACTGAGAAAAGAACAGCCATCCACTCCTTCTCGAATGTAGTGTGCATGCTTCTTTTATACATTTCCATAGAAAAAGGTGGCAACCCTATATTAGTTTCATTCTCAGTGAAAATGCAATAAGCCTAGGTTTGGTCTAATATTGGTCAGGAAGCTTCTGTCAAGAGTATCAATAACAGAACCTGAGACTGACTAAAATGGAACTGGGACTCTTAAGCAACTCATTCTTCAGCATCATTGGCTGGTATTCAAAGGAGTTATGGTGCATTATGAATACTCCAAATGAAAACCTGAACTTGGTGTTTTAGCAAAAAGTTCCTGTCTTTGTCCAGTAAGAAAGGAAAGAGGCAAGGTCAATAAACAGATAGGAACAGGCCTCTGTGCAGGTTAGTTGATCTGTAACGCACCTGCAATGAGACAATGCTTGACAGCAACAGGAGACATATGATGGCAAGTAATTCCTCCTTGGATGGTAAAAGTTCCAGCTGGTTTCAGGGTGTTTGTGTCCCAGACCTTCAGCTTCTCATCCAAGCTGCTGGATGTGAACATCCCAGTGTCGAAAGGGTACCACTGTACCTTCTGGATGCCATATTTATGTGCATGTGTTGAGCCTCTGCAAAAATGTAAAAACTTCAGGCACCTCATCCTGTACTAGGCATTGAATGGTAAATGCAAGTTTAATCATTAAAGAAATGTTAATTAAGTAATAAGTTATGCCTGGCTTGACTCACGTTGGAATTTTGCAGATTGTTTTAATGGTAAGCCTTGATGAACCATTCACAGCATATAAATCATGGATGAACAAGCCTCCATCCCCTATCCCAGACAGTAAACTGCAAGCAAGAAGATCATATTATGATACTCCAATATGATCAAAGGGCATAATACAAAGGAAAAATGGAGGCTACAACTATCACAATTTTACCAGAGAGCATGAGAGTTTTTTTTTATTCATTATTTCCATACCTCTTGAGAGGTTTTGGCCTCAACACCCAGTTTAACTCTTTCAAGAGTTTTTTCACAAGACAAACCCTGTCAGGAGTAAGCTTTTCCTCAGAATGTAATTACTTGTACTGATTGGCAAGAATATTGTGTTAGATAATTATGAGTTCTATTAGGTCTTTCTTACTGCTGACATTACCTTAGTTCCTTGAAGTGTGAAATTCTGCAAAACTGTGGGTTTATACACTTTAACTGGTTGAAATACCAGGAGGATCATGGGAGTGAATCCAGATACATTCCAGCTGGGAAACAGCTGTAAAAAGTGAAAATGAATCCTGACTAGTCTTCAACTAGAATTTCCCAGTTTGATTGAAAATGACTTTGCTATTTCCTCCTTGATCCTTGAGTCTAGCTGCAGAAGCTGCTGTATTACAGCTGTAAATTCAGTCCAATTTCAGTTTAAGGATCCTCTGCTTAAACTCAGCTGAAATTTCCCAGCTGGAAACCTCAACCAATACCAACTGCAATCTACCTGCGAACCAACCTAGATCCTGTATTTTCCAACTGTTCCTTAGTTGCATTGTATCTGAATTTACTGCTATTTCTGCTGTGGTCCAACATAAATTTAAGCCTGGATTTTTAAATTGGGGCAGAACTCACTAAAAAAAAATCAAATATGTTATCATTTAGGCATTCATGTTCCTTGTACAGATCACATATAAGTAAACTTTGATGAAATTGACTTCTGTAGAAGACCAAGTAGATTTAAATAATAGTCTATTAATGCTCAGTCTGACACTTATGGGAGTCCTAACTTCATATCCTCTCACTACTACATTACAGTGTAGGACCATGGGCAATAATCCTAAATGGAAAGGCAGTGGCTTGTGGAACAAATATATTCAAAAGCATCCCTAGCTGTTCCAAAAAGACATAGTATATTTGTATTATTATTGATCTTTTCAACATCATTCCCCAAAAATGTATAGTCCACTCTGCTTTGATGTTGAGTCTTTCATCAGTGTGCCCATAACAAGAGACAAAATATACATCCAAAAAGGTGTACAAATACTGCTATAGCATACCATCTAGAGCAGAATATAGGTTCAGCTAGAAGCTGAGCCAACACTCTGCCTTCTCTGGCACTAATGCCAGAGAAAAGAACCTGGGATTATATCAAATGCTCCTTCTACAATATGCATTCTTTTCACTTGGTTTTCACCAATCCTCAGAATCTTATGAGTTTGATACCATGCAAAGATGGGATTAGCCTAAACCAAGATTGAGTTAGACACCTAACTTGGAAAAAGGGCATGCATACAGCTGTGTGCAGTGTAGAACTCAAACTAAACCAAGGTATATTAATATAAACCAAGTTCTATGAACAGTATGATGCCTGGATGATTTGCAGTATGATAGAAGCTATCATTAAAGAAGCCATGAAAGTGACCTTTAATTCATGAGTTAAAGTCAGTTTATCTCAAGTAATCTGTCTTGACAGCATCTTGGAAAGCACAGCAGCTATTTGGGTTACACCCATGGACCAGGGTACAAATTAGTTCTCAACACTAAGCTTCCCGATGCTTGAAATTTTTGCATTTGTCCATAAAAGAAACTTTGCTTCCAACTGAGCAAATAAACTTCACATTCACCTGTTTTTAATTTCTCCCTGTTTATTTTGTTTTGAAATGGGGCTGGGGCTGGCCCAGCCCCAGTCCAATCTTGTCAATATGGGGAAAAAGGGATATAATATAGCAATAGCTCAATTGGATAAAGACAAAATGATATGAACTTTAAGAAAGGCGAGAGAGAAGAACAGGGAGGAGGAGAGAAAGAAAGCAAAACAAACAAAAAAAGGGCAGTGTTAAATAATGAAATACAAGTCAATATTGAAGTATGAAAAGTCTATTTTGGGGCTTTCCAAAGAACCTGGAGGCTTGTCCCAGGCTGTCTGAGTTGAAATAGTAACTTATAAATCTCAGAAACCTATAAATCTAATTCCTTATCATTCCTCTTGTATAGGGCAATTTTGTTCCAATGCATTTTATTTTATTTTCCAATGCCATTTTAATGAGTGTCACTTGAGCCAAGAAAAGCTCTCCAGCCCAAGTAAGAAAATAACATAAATTTCTTGTTTTCTTTAGCTGCCAACCTCTTGCTTATCAAGAATGAAATGATCACCTTCATCATGACCATTGCTCAAAACCAGGAGATTGGTGGAAAGAAGGGATCAGAAGTCATAGAACTGAAGATTTCTCATGCTCTGGGAAGGAGAGAACGTAATTTGGCATTGGATACCCACCATGCTCTGCATCCCCACTCCTCTTAGATACTTCTCTTTGCTCCCAGGCCTGATATCATGACACATATTATCAGAAAGCTCTCTTTCCATTCCTTAAAATGGTGTGGAACAAATTGAAACAATGATGTACCCAAGGTAGTCTTATCAATTTGCTTCTGGTAGAACCTAGTCTTCTCATCAATGGAAAAGCCATCTCACTAAGCCCATTCTGCATCCTATCACATTCCTGCAAGATCTACATTGATTTTAAGTCAACTATGAAAAATCTGAAGCTATCAAGATGTCCTCATCATCTGCTTTCTATAGATACATTTGAGACCACTGATATATTTGGATATTCATGCATGACATCATCAATGACACTCCTTTCAGACTCTCTCATTTTTAATTGATACTACTGGGAGGTTTCATAAAAAGTCTCCTTCAACTTACAGTTTGCACCATGCTCGTGGGTGTTTTTATGAGTAGTATTCTGTGCTAACTGAAATGTATCTACTCAGTCTACAATATCATGCACCAAATGTTAGTCCTAGGCCTACATATGAAAGGAAAGGGTTAGACCATTTCTATCTTCTAGATAATCTTGAAAATTGTGCATAATAATTATGGTAACAACATAATAATTATGGTAATATGGTATTAATGTATAATAATTATGGTAAACTGAAAAAAAAGCAAAAAACAGAAAGCTTTTTCTATCCCTTCCTTTGGTTTCTCAAAAGTCTCAGTTCAAAAATTGTTGAAAACCAACCAATGCTACAATGGAGCCTTTTCCTGGAACTTTGCTCAGTGGGGCATAGAGGCCTTTCAGCATTATAGACAACGCTGAGATTGTAGTGTATGTTGGAACTGGAGCCCTGAACAGACAAGTCATTACAACAGTAAAAGTCAATGGAGTGGTGGTAACATCTTCATAGATTAGCAAAATTCCTTACACATTATAAAAAGTACTTCAAATTGTGCATGTTGAAGAAGTTAAATTCAACAGGAAAAAATCTGGTTCCAGAACTTGCAAGTTTTGAAGGCATAAATGAATCTCTTCAGAACCTTCCTGGATTGGGAGAAAGTTCTCTTTAACAATGAAAGTCACTTCAAATCTGTCAGTGATAGACCAGACATGTGCTACAGAAGACCTGGGAGGAATATTCACTCAAATGTCACATATGTGAAAGGTGGAGGAAGAGGTGTTATAGTTGTGAGTCCCTTTTCAGTTCAGGGTCCCAGTTTGCTAGTAAGAGGTTATGACAGCATAAGCAATGACTAGCATGTGGGAATTCTGGAGAAAGCAGAATCCATAAAATTTCAAAAGATAGGTCAAAAACTATTTGGTGCCAATGGTTCAATGAGAAAATCAGTCTCATTGATTGGTCATGAAACTCTTCTAATTGCAATCCAATAGAGCATATTTGGGGTGTCATTGAAAGGACATTGCAAGGGGAGCATTTTTCCTCAAGTGATGAATTATTCAACCCTGTCCAGGTTGCCTGAAATGCACTCAGCATAAAACATGCTAAAACTACAACAAGAAAATGCCATAAAAAGTGGAGGCTGTCACTAAAGTCAGCAGTGGTTCTATCTGTTACTAGTTGTGTGCAATCTACTTTCAGGAATCTATCACTTTTAATAATTTCTCTTAGGAATAAAAAAAAATTATTCCTGGCCATTTTTAACACTAATGTACAACCAAGAAAAATTTGCATCCCACTCACAGCAAATGGTGTAAAAATTAAATGTGCTAAATATGAAGTGTGGATATCGAAATAAACATATATGGTCTTATTATTTTTTTTACTAATTGCAAATGTAGATGTCAGAATCTTATGAATATTTTCCTGTGTGTATGCGTCATTCCTGCAGTAATCCCGGTTCCTGAAAGTTATGCTCACTGAACAAGGCTCTATGTCCACAGAGAGATTGTTGCTCGTTACATGCCTAAGGGATTGATAACAAGATTTTAGCCCTTTCACAGTCATGCACTGAAATATTAGTTGTCCTCCAGGGAGTTTTAGGAAAAATTGGACCATGGATTGCCTTGTGGCATTGCATAACTCAGCCTATTGAATGTATGGTGATCAACAAATGAATGAATCCAAACATGAAATGAAAATCCATGTGAAATATCATATGGGCTAATGTTAACGCTTTCGATCAGGCAGAGGGAAACAGATTGAGATACAGCACATTTCAGGATTTTCAGGATTTCAGGAGAGTTAGTGATATCAAGAGGTGATTTCACCCATTTCGATATCACGTGTTGAGGTCGAGCGTTCCTTAATTTTAGGGTAGGCCTAACCCTCTTAAAGCTAAATATTTTTGTATTTTTTTTTTGTTCTTATTTGACTATCCTAGTTGCTTACTGTCTAGTACCTAATGTCAACATTGCCCCCCACCTTTTTGTCTGTCCATGAAAGAACCTAGTTTCTTCTTAAAGATAGTCACAGAAGGGGCAGCCACTACTTCGTCATCTAATGCATTCCACGCATTCACCACTCTGCAAGTAAAGAATTCCTGTCTCGACCTGAGCTGCACCTGCGGTTTGTGCAACTTAAGTCGGTTACCTCTCGTTCTCTTGCTGCCATCAAACTGGAAAAACCTACCACACTCGACATTATCTATTCCTTTAATTATCTTGAAAGCCTGGATGAGATCGCCCCTCCTTAACCTTCATTCGAGCGAGTACAGTCCCAACACTTCTAAATGCTTCTCGTATGATAGTCCCCTGACCTCCTTAATCATTCTAGTGGCCCTCCTCTGTACTCCCTCGAGCGCCAACAAATCGCCCTTATTTGTAGGCCTCCAAAACTGGATGCAATATTCCAACTGGTGTCTTATCACATGCCACTGGATGAGCTTCAAAGATGGCTCAAGTAGTCCCACAGCCACTGCAAGTTGAAAAAGGCAGCATGACCAGAAACCTTCACGAGCGGATGCTTTTCACACAAAATGTTAGGCCTAGAGCTGGATTAACCTGTCCTCTTAGGATTGCTCTCAATTATTGGCGGACCAAACCAGCTTTAGGCCTGGACTGAAAATGTGAGAAGCTAATCGTTGCTATCATTAGTGTCTTTCGCTTTACTGTGACTCACTATCTCTCTTCCACGTCTTCCAGATCCATAGAGCAAATGGACGTTGAGAAAGTTTGTTCAAATTCTTTCTTCTTGCTGAGTTGCATTCTTTCCAGTTGGGCAATCGAAAACTGATTCTGAACCGCAGTGGTAGACAACACACCCATTCTCATGTTCATGATATTGCTAGTCACACAGGGCGTTAATGAGCCTTTTCTGCGCCTCATTTCGTCCAGAGTTGACCACTTTCCTAGGCATACACGGTCCAACCTTCGAGCACGCTTTCGACCATGCGAGCATCGGCCTTAGGTGAACACGTGAGCGGAAGGCGAGCGCCATGACAATGCGAAAAGAAGCCAATCAGGGCCTAACTCTCCTCCAACTAACAACCAATCAGAGAATAGATCTTGCCCTGTCAATACGCGTCACAGGGTTTATTTATACCTGTGGCATTCGATTATTCACGTGCATTCTGTTCGTGTACTCTGTTCTCTTTCTTTAAGCTTGTTTCGAGAGCGAGAGTGCGTGTTTCGATTTCTTTTTTATATTTTACATTCGTATTGATAAGTACTCTAGTGTTTTTCAGTTCAGTTAGACACTTCTTCACTTGACTTCCACACATGCATGAAAACGTTCAATGCACGTGTGTCTGAGTCAAGCGAAAAATGGTCTAACTCAAGTAAAAAACCTTATTTTCGAAATTTTCTCCATAGTTAGGCACATTCCTTTTGGATTTTCATCGGGTAAGTTCCTTTATCTATTATTTGCTCCATTAGCGATGCTCTAGTGGAGAGTCAGTATCTATCCTATCAATTTGTTTTTGCCCCTCACCACCACCTTAAGCCTTCTGTTTTATTTCATCATTTTATCCTCCGAAAGAAAAAATGTATTGCATTTAAGTAATTGCGATAATTGTTTCGAAACCCGGCTTCGATTATTCTATACTCAGACGACCAAGTTTGGTCCAAACACATTCGTGGTAGCGTGAGGGGTCATCCGTAAAATATCTCTGAATAGTTGAGTGTAAGATGAAATAGTCGATGGGCCAACAATTGAAGCGAGGAAACCTGCTTCAAACGGTGGAAACTGGCAGCCCGTATGCCTGAATTTGGGAGCCACATTCTCAAAAACGTCGATTCGTGAAAAGAAATTCCAGAGTGAGTCCCCCAGCCTGCCGAGGCCCCTGAGATGGAAGAAGGCGTGGATTGCGCGTGTGACGCGGCGAGGAGCCCTTCGGCCCTCTCCTCTCGCTGCAGCTGCATCCGCGAGAAAGACGCGAGGAAGTCTGCAGCGGCGCAAAATTCTTTCGGTAATCATTCTTCGCAATCGTACCCGGACGAGAACTCTCGCGATGAAGCTCCGGACATCAACGGTGCCGAGGAAAAGGACACGATTCCTCATCGAGATGGAGGGAATCTGACTACTCCTTTTCCATCTCCCGTCGAGAAGACGGCAAGGGAAGAGAAGCGGGGCAATTCCGCTGAGGAATCTTCTCTCCCTGGGGAAAGACAGCATGAGCCTCTTTTCCTCGAAAAGGGAAATCAAGCTTCGATCAAGGAAGAGGTAATCGTGAAAGAGACGAATCACAACCAAGACCATGGGGAAGTCGAGGGTGTAATTGCCTATCACGAGGAGGAGAGATATCCATCAACTCATTCACAATCCCCCGATCGAGAAAATTCCATCACGAAACAAGAAACGACGGAAACTGCCATTTTGGTAGAAAACAAAGACGAGCAAATTGATGATTTAGCCAAAGGAAAGGACGAGATGGACACGTTGGACTGCCACAAGCGCCTGGGAAGACGAGACGACTTCGTTCCCGAAGAGGAAGGGGAGAGGAACCCGGCACCCCATCCGCTAGGCAACGATATAGGTGATTCCCTCGAGGAAGAGGAGAGTGGGGAATCCGCCCGAGAATCTCCTTCATTTCCTGGAGAAAGCCGGGATCATCAGAATGGAGGTTTGCGATCACGCAACATCGACCGTTCTGCGGGAGAGGATCATGCGATCCCTGATGGAGGGGAAGAGGAAGGGCATCCGATCATCGGTTTCGCATCCGCTGATAGGGACGAGAGGAATGCGGGGGGATGCATCACTTATCCCGTTTTCGCAGCAAGCGAGGCGAGGCAACCTCATGCTTCGGCCGGAGAACACGAGACGACCTACGATCGAGACTCGGGGGTCGAGATGATGGATTTTTCGCAGAATGCGCGAAGAAATTCCGCCAAGGAAGGGGAACACGAACGCGATCCGCGAATCCCCGATGGGACCGAGAATCGGAAAAATCCAGTTTCTCCGACAGACGAGAAGGAAGAGAAACCAGATACGGCTCGTGAGTCGACATACGAATTGGAACCCGACGCCGCGCGAGAATCACCGTCGAGCGAACGAGGAAACTCCCCGAAGCCGCCGGACGAGAAGGACCTTCCTCTGCGACGAGCCTTGGCTGCGAGCCAGGACCGACTGGAATTCCAAGATCCTTCGACCGAGAAGAAAGAAGCGGCCGACGAGACAGACACGGACCGGAATGCCACGAGAGGATCCCCTTCGCATCGCGACGAAGGTCGGGCCGAGCGCGGGGAGGGGAAGCGGGTGACGGGAGTCGGTCCCTTCGCGTCGGCTCCGACCGATTCCGCCGATGGCGCGGGGAAGATCGGTCGCGATCGGGACTCGGAGATGAAATGCTTCGGTGCGATTGGTGGTCTCGAGGGAGAGGGGGGACGGCAGACGACCCGTTTTCGAAACCTCGATCGAAAAGATTCCAGCGTGAAACGGGAGACGGAAGGATCTGCCGCTTTTCCAGAAGGAAAACGGGGGCAAATTCACGCTTCGGCAAAAAATGAGGACGAAAAGACGGGCGAGACTGCTCTCGACCAGGACTTTGGACACGATTCCGATCCGATTCCCGATCGAGAAGGAGAGAGGAATCCGACGCCGCGTCTTCCCGACACCGGTACACGAAACGATTCCTTCAATGAAGAGACGGGAAACTCCTTCCTCGAATCCCCTTCAATTCCCGGAGAAAGCCAGGTTAATGAAAATGAAGATCCGCGATCACGCGACATCGACCGTCCCACGATAGGGGGAGGTACGATCCCTGAAGCAGAAAAAGAGCACACGATCGCCCGTTTCCCATCCGACGAGGCAGGCGAACCCATCGCGTCTCCTGCTGCCGGAAAGGATCGGGAAGTTCAGGGCGGGGAGGAGCGGAGGGCTCACGACGAGGGCTCGGCTGTGTGCTTCTTGCTGGGCTTGGCGGTGAGCTTGGTCGTCGGTTTGGCCAGTTTGGTGGAAGGAGAGATCGCGGGTTCGTCGTCGAATTCGCGACGAGGTTCCGTCAAGAAAGAGGAGCGACGAGGCCAGGACTCGCCAATTCCTGTGGAGGAGGGGAAAGCAGAAATGGCGAGTGAGAATAGTTTCCAATTGGGACACGATCGTGTGCAAGAATCATCCTTGAATGAGCTTGAAGTTCCTCTGGAAGGAGCTTCCGCTGTAAGGCTGGACCAACAGATATTCGAAAATCCGTCAGAAGAGAAAGTGGAAATAGTGGCTGACGAAGCGGACACGGGAATGAATCTGAAAGTCACAAGAGGATTCCCTTCACATCCTCCCCGCCCGCGAAGTTTCTCCTTATCCGCTGCATATGGGACTTCGCAGCCGTCAGGTTTTAGCCACACTGACGCTTACGTCAATGATCTGAATGCCTCTGCCGGGATTTCCATTGGCAAGGCAGCTCAACATCGAACAGGTTAGCAAGCATCTCAAAAGTTTAACGAACGATTATGGTAGCTCTAATTATTGACAGCTCCCGGGGGGGGGGGAACGATGAGCGGTCAGGTCACTTCAGCGACTCGGAAGCAGACGATAAGCTAGGCTGGTTTGGTGGTTGGGACGATAGATGTCAGGGTGAACAAGTGTCCTTTGATGTCTGCGGCCATGGTTTGATGCGGCTGGTCCGGATCGTCGTGCCCTTGACTAGGCCTAGGCCTCTAATACTCAGGATTTCATCCCCCTTCAGGTTTGCCTCATTCACTGGTTATCCTTGCCCTTGATTCTGTGAATATATATATATTTGTTTGTTTTCCATGAGTCCAAGCCCAATATACGACTGGCTATCTTAATGCCAATCAGAGCCCTTGTATTCCATGCAAGTCCTCATGCGTTGCAGTTTCCGGGTTTCGTTAACGTGGAATTTTTTGTTTAACCCCATATTTATCACATGTATTCCCACATAAAACAGGGAAGAGGGATATAGCCAGGCACCATTGTAGTCCTGTCATGGTATTCCTTTGTCTTGTGCACACCTAGTTTGCACACACTTAGTCTTGTGTGCACACCTTATTTTGTACCATGCACACTGCTCAGTTAATCAGTTGTGGATGTCGTATGTGTGCATAGTACAACCTATGACCGTCACTTTAGCAGTGAGTGCTGTTCTCACAGACTCGCATGCAGAACGCGCTGCCTGACGCAACAGCAAGCAGGCACATGTAGACACACTGAATCCTATCTCTCTAGAGGACATCCTTGAAGTTTTTCAACTAGAACAGTGCTCAGTGTATGGGGACCGTGTATGGCCGTATCTGGATCACGGACTGCCATTCTTTGGTGATTCGGTACTATAGAAGTCCTGCTTCTGGTGCTTCATGAACTATATTAAGCTATATAGGCAGGCATCACGTATCACCTTCCCAATCTCGGATGAGATGAAGATGATAGGCCTGATTGGAAGGGAAAAGGCATTTGTATCTCTTCTATGTGTGGGCAACAAGGTCTACTGGGCATTCATCCTGCTTGCCATTATGCCAGGCAGCATGTTCTGCATTGAACATGGGGGTGGAGGTTCAGTCCTCAGAAAGTTGTGTGCACATAACAGAGTTGAGGTTTATGTGCAGTGTTCACAGGATTTGACAGTGTGCACATGATGAAGGAATACCCTTGTCACAAATATTGAGTGAAATGGGAATGATTTTCAACAGAAAAACCATATTAAAAGCAGTCAAACTTGCAACAGCAAAAAAAAATATGAAGAAAAGCACAGAATTAAGCTGGCTAGGATAAGTGATAAAAGTGGTGTTCCATGAGTCTGATGCAGGAAGGGAGGCATAATTCTCCCATATCACACCCAAAACATTGCACTTAACTGCATGACTCAGCAGTGAACAGCAACCACCTACCTGTGTTTAAGAAAGATAAGCTAGAGGAAGCTGGGATTAAACCCACAAGAGTCATATTTGATGTGAGACAGCCATTGAGCTACCAGTTCTTGCTAAGGGAAGGTGAGGATAAGAAGGAGAACCGTAGCACATCACTTACAGGGTGGACAGGATAGTCCCGTCCTATCGCATATTTTTGACAAAATCAAATTTCGCGGTAAAATTATTGATTGTACGAATGTCATAAAGAGGAGGGTGGCTATATTGAGTAGATGATGTTCCCCTGCATGTCCAGCAACATATACAAGCTGTAAACTGTTGAAATAAACTTTTTTTTTTTTTTTTTACATAAAAGAAGTGTTCTCATCACATAAATATAGCATAAAATAGGACGGGACTATCCCGTCCACCCTGTATATGCAGCTGATGTTTGTACACATTTTTTGTGGCCTTTCTTGCAGGATGGTAGTGCTGTGCCTTGAATATAACTGCCAGAACACCCCTGGATACAGTCATTCTCATCAGTAATACTCTACCATAATACTACAGTAATACTAGTCTGTCCCAAAAGGCAATCTCATGGCTGTACCACAGACTGGAGAAAATAATCCTGTACAGTAGACCTAACATTGCAAACATTGCATTAACATCAGTTTGGAGCAATATAATAGCTTTGTACTAAATGGTGATTGTAGTTGTTGGTATATATTGTTACAATATGCCTAGTTTCATGTAGCATTGGTATTTAGTATTACAATATGCTTAGTCTCATGTAGGCTACAGGTTTTCTTTCAGTTGAATTCATTCCTTTTCAGTTGACTTTGTCAGCCAGAGAGGTGCAAGAAATCCATATTTTGGTAAAAGTAGTCTTGCTAGTGTTAGCCTAGGTAAGAGATGCAGTTGGTTGACAATGTATTCAAAGAAAGGCCTATAGATACTGTGGTAGAAGGTCTGGTTATTGTGCTTGAAGAATATCACATAAGACTTTGCAGAATGCTCATTACTTGCCACAAGAGGACTTGCAGAATGAAAGACAAGGTTCCAGTTATCATTAGTAGATCTTCCAGTGTTTCCCAGCCTAATAACAGACAATTTTGTTAGCTTGAAAATATGTAATGGTGAATTAATGTAAGAAATCTCCTTATTCACAGCAAGAATTATGCCTTATTCCATAGATTTGCTAAGGTTGTAGTAGTCTTATAATAGAGAGACCTATTTATGCCCATCATGCATACAGTTGACCTGGGTAATTTAAAAGAATTTTAATGGAAATGAAAAGTTGCACAGTAATTGCATAACCTATTGCAGTAACTCTTATTGTAGTACACACAAGTTAAACTTTTATTGGAACTGCTTCACAGCACTAAAACAGTGACTTCTGGACCATGAGTTGCTATGTGATGGATTCGATTAGATGATTAGATTGGATTAGATGATGGATTCCCAAGTTCATGCAAATTGTTAGCAGAGAAGCTTGTTTTAGTAACATTTGGTACAGGCTGAATGTGTGCAAGTCATTTTAACCCAAAAGTGGCAGCAAATTTACCTTTGTTCTGACTAACTGCATGCCTGTTAGGCTGTCCACAATTGCCTAGCATATCCAAATGAACAGGGTAATTGTGAATGGCATCTGACAATTTTGATCATTTTGTGCATTTAGCCTTTTATTTGAAATACAGGGTGATTCGCTAAAAAGTTTCTGGTTTTGGGATGAAGTCACTTAAGTTGTAATATGGGTAGATTATTGCAATTACTCTTAGTTTAAAGGAAAACTCAGCAAAATTTTTAACCCTTTCAAGGGCCAGTTTTTTCACACTTTTCAACACCTTCAGAAAACATGCAATAACGCAAAGTCATCCTCTGACTCGGAATTTAGGATGTCCTCAATCATTCGAGAAGAAAGGTCGTGTTTTTTTGGATGTTTTACACTACTAGGTCCTGCAACGGTGTCCATTTTTACCGGGCACACCATTACAGAACAAGGACAGTCTCAGATGCAAGATGTATACAGTGTGCATTGGATACCTATACAACCTCTTTCAATGGGTTAAATGCCGCAGTAACCTGTTGCTGCACACGCCAAGGTGTGGCAGCACTTCCTGACAGACTCTAGGACAAAAGTAATATATAGGTGAAGGCCCGTCAAAGCGCTAAATTTTAAAACCCACATATGGGTCCATGCCCGCAAACAGGTTAATATCAAATGATATACTCAAGGCACTTCCTGCCATGATCCCTGTTCATCCAAATATGCCAAGCTACATTTTCAATTACAGCTTGAAGGCAGCTGCAATTCCACCAATGCATGTACAACTCCACCTTGAAGAAAGGTAAGCAACAGAATGGGGTTGCTCATGGGGTTGCTATTGCTCACACATCAAGCCAGTGTATGACCTGGCCTAATGATGAATTCCCCCAATGCACAAAGGTTGCTTTCCATGACAAATTGTGCTTTCCAGATTTTTTGTTTCTTGACATCTTCCTTTGGGGATATGTAAAGGAAATTGTGTTCTGATTCAACCCCCATAATATAGTAGACAAGATGGAGGCTACAGCTGACACCCTTCAAGCTATCTTTGAAAACAAAAATGTGGATGGGACATGAGCATAACAGGCAGTACCTTTTTTCATGCTATTGTAATTTCAAGAAATTAGGTAAGTTTTTGTGTAAAAAAAATTTTTTAAATACTTCAATTCAAAGCCAGAAACCAGTTTGTTGGCCTTTTTTGTGATTGGGGCTTTAAAGTCAATCCAAGTACATTAGTTGTGTAACACATAAGTGGTAGGCCTGTTTTTCATCCACTGAAAGACTTATTGTAACCCTTTTGTCCCAAGTTTTTTTTTGTCTTTTTGATAAAGTAATTGTTATTAGTTACCACACCAGTTGCCATAGGTCCCATTTGATCACTCTTATCGTGGGTCTCCTGCTTTAGTACAAATGTCATGAATGAATTTGTGGGTGCTGCATTTGCAAGAGGATTTTATTGGCATGTCCTATTTGGGCACACAATGACTGAAGGGATTAAAAGGAAAACAACCAAAGAAGGAAGATATTTTTGGGCATTCAAATGCCTCTTCACTCTTTCCATGCAAGCAGACAGATGTCTGTCTCCTTGATTCATGGGAAGTGAAGTTTCTACTCAATGGGAGAGGTATCTGAAGTAATCTCAAGGAAATGAACTATAGGCATATCATCAATCTCTATCAAATATCAACTCTGTAATTGTTTGTGGCTGACCATCAGGATCAATGGCTTCAATCAGCCATGACAGCAAAATAGTATTTTTTTCCAGGTGCTAGTATCATGAGTAAGGAAAAGGGCTCTGATGACATTACTGACGGCCAAGGTGCATATGGGAGTGGTGAACGAGAAGACAAGAAGAAAGGAGGGCTTGCAAGTTTCACAATCTCTTATGATGATTTGGATGCAGTCGTCCTGGGTGTCCCTGTAAGAGAGGAAATGAAAGAGAATGTATCTCTGCATGAAAATGAGCACGAGAGTGTCACACTTACAGATGGAGTTGACTCTGAGTATGCCTTAGGACCTGGTCATTCCTCTGAATTAGTGGTTAGTGCACAAGTAAGTTAGAATCCCACATTCATAAAGTTTTAGTGCCAGTACCCACTTCTGGTATCTTAGGCATCTCTCCTGGAGCAGTTCTTTTTCAAGGATTTCTTCATCAACTTTTGTCTCCATCCTGTTCTGATAGTGCTAGTGACATTGAAGACAATAGTCTCCATTTGCCTTTGGACTGTTTTATGGAATGAGGTGAGTTGGTGACTCTTAGCCTTGATTGAGCTTGACATGGGTGAGAATCATCGACCTCAATACTTGTGATTGCACTGAAGGTTATTTTTTGGAAGGAAACTTGATTGGCATCTGTTGCCTTGTAAGCTGACTCAATTTTCTCACAGCAGACATCATCTAATTTTTTTGTACCATGTGCTTTATTGTGAATTTTTCATTTCTGAGAGTTTTAGCCATCATCACAAATTTCCTCCATTATAAATCTGGTATGTGATTTCATGATATTTAGAAGCAACGTAGAGTAGACAGAATCTTAAATTTCTTGCAGCTGTTTCACAAGGTGATATAATTGCTGACAAACTTCATGGGGATATTTTCTGAAATTAATAAGGAACAATATTGGAAGCAGTTGACATCTTTTTGTATGAGTTTGTTTTTCCAAAAGTGTGACCTTGATGTCATTTGCAGAAATGATAAGTGGACAAAGGAAAAAATGCTGTCTTAGTTGTTATACTAATACCTTTTTCAATAGGCATGTTCTTACTTCCATGGTTCTTACATGTGAATGGTGTCTCACATTCGTGTTCTCACTCTGCATGCAGTCTTGATGAATACAGTGTTCTGTAACTGTGCTATGCCATGTGTTATTGAATTATGTTATGCATGTCACCACTGACACCCATTGGAATATTCTTGCCATTCTTTGGTCAAAGATTGAAGTGATTCTGTGGGAAACATATCACTGGTGGTATTGCATTTTATTTTGCAAGTTCATTTACTTCAATCCACAGGAGAGGCTGCTCAAGTGTTTATTACCTTGAATGAAGTATTTAAATACTGCTTCTTTTTAATAATTTCTCACTAACTCCCCAGTGATTGAGGAGCAATTTACTTTGCAGCAGATATGAAGGTGCCATTCAAGAGTTTCCAAACCAACTGTGGACTTAGTGTAGAATCAAAGAAAAGTGCTTTGCTATATTTCCTGTGATGCCTTGTTAAGCAGGCAACTTGCTCCTCATCACTGATTCATGAATCTTTGTTTTTACATTTTTTGTCTCAGCAATTTTTTTTTTCATGTTTTACACACCTCAGGGTTGAAATATTCTTTTAACAGTTGTTAATGAGTTTTCATTAGCATTACACTCCTTTGTCATAAGCAACTGGGAATCTGTCTTTTCATGAAGTTGTTCATTTGCATCAAAGGAAATGTATTTCTCATTTGTTTTTCCTTCCAAAGGGAGGATACCCTGCAGATATGATGATGGACTTTGCAACTGATGATGATTTCCATCCTGCTTTGCCATTCTTCCAACGGGTGGACTCTGCTGATATCATTTATGAACAGAAAAAGAAAAGGTGCAAAATCATAGCTGGACGATATGCCATGGGTGATCTTCTTGGTGAAGGCAGCTATGGGAAAGTGAAAGAGTGCTTGGACTGTGAAACCCTCTGCAGGAGAGCAGTGAAAATTCTTAAGAAGAAGAAAATCCGGAGAATCCCTAATGGAGAGCAAAATGTACAGAGGTGAATGGAGAGTTCATAAAGTTAGATGATGGTCTTAAACATTGAAAATCAACATTGTATTTGAGAAAAATACTCTCTTGTTTTCAGAGAAATTCGGCTGTTGAAACGATTGAGTCATCCAAATGTGATTGGACTTTTTGACCTCCAGTATGATGACACGAAGAAGAAGACGTATATGATCATGGAATATTGTGTTGGTGGCCTGCAAGAGCTCATAGAAAGTACAGAAAAGAAAAAGCTGCCAGTGTGGCAGGCACATGGGTGAGGAGCAGCTTTCAGCTAACTGATATCTTCAGATCCAGTTTTAGAACATGTACTGTATCCAAATTGATTGTACACATTTTGTAGCTACTTCTGTCAACTGCTGAGGGGGATTGAGTACTTGCATGGTCAAGGAGTGGTTCACAAGGACATCAAGCCAGGGAACCTATTACTTTCCACTGAAGGTGTACTCAAAATCTCGGACTTTGGTGTTGCAGAAGTGAGATTCATATTCATATTCAGAATACATGTATATGTATATTGGAAAACTTTCATCTTTCAATTTCCTCCTGTAGCTGATTGATCCTCTGGCACCAGATGACACTCTGACGATGAGTCAAGGTACCCCAGCGTTCCAGCCACCAGAGATTGCCAGTGGCCAGGATACCTTCTCTGGCTTCAAGGTGGACATCTGGGCATGTGGTGTCACTCTGTCAGCATATCTCATATCACAAGTATCTATTTCCTTCATTTATAAGTTTGTTAACCTAAAAGACCTTTCTTTTCATTTCTAGGTATAACCTCATCACTGGGATATACCCATTTGAAGGAGACAATATTTACAGGCTGTATGAAAACATTGTGAGTCGAGAAATGCTCATGCCCACTGACCTGGAGCCTAGTTTGCAGAATCTCCTGCAAGGAATGTTGGAAAAGGAACCGAGTAAACGCTTCACCCTGTATCAGATTCAGCGTCATGAGTATGCCTTTTATTTGCTTTCCGAATGCAGTCTTTATGAGATGCTGTTGAAGACATGCAATCACATTTATTTTGGTTTTGTAGCTGGGTGAAGAAGCACTTTCCAATGACAAGTGAGTGTGTCCCCATCCCAGCAATGAATGGAGACACATGTCGCAGCATGACTGTGATTCCATATCTCCACAACCTGCATTTTGGCAGTGACGATGATGAAGATGTTGAGTATGTCACAGAACATGACCTTGAAGGTTAGCCTATCCATTGTATTCCATGTGGAACTAGCAGCACCCCTGCAGAAATATTCTTGGCTCCAATGGGAATCATTAGATAAAATTGGAAGAGGAGTACACAGAATGTCTTAAGACTGAAACATGTCTTCATGATTTGCTGCTTCTTTTGAAAAGAGGAGCTCTTATTTGATCAATTCTGCAGAGCTGCTGTACACAAGACACATATGAGAGATGAACAAAGATGTTTGCATTATTTAATTGGGTTATGTAGTGATGCGGGGAAGACGGAAGGGATCTGGAGATTTTGGGAACCACTCAGGGATTCACTCAAAATCGTCAAAGGAGAAACACAAGAAGGACAAAGCTATGATTCGCAAGCGGAACTTGTCTTTCTGCAAGCCTTCCTAGATTCATCTCTGTGATGTGTGTGTGACTGTATGACTGCAACAAATTCATTTTAGGCTAGAATCGCCCAGACTGTGATCTAGAGAAGAAATACAGTGAAATCCTGGTTTTCATCAGACCTTCCTTAAAAACAGAAGCAGCTCATGGAGAACTGCATTCTTTTAGATATGTGTGACCTTCTGCTCAAAGTATCCCATGAAAATCCTAGGGGGAGGGAAAAACTGCCTCCTTTTGTTCCCTTGCCACTAGTTCAAGTAGTTCAGTATCCAGATCTCTGCTTTCGTGAACATTCATCTGACTGTGGTAAAATAGAGAGAATGAAAGAATGTGATACAGAGTGGGGCTTTGATGGTATCCTTGTGATGAGTGGCTTTGTTCCATGGATTCTACAACATGAAAAATTATTTTTTATGCCTAGGAATTAAGTGGAGACCCAGGATATGTTGAGTCAATCAAAAACTAACACATGTTGGCAAATGGAAGGAAAAGGTATTTGTTGAGTGCCAAACAGGGCAGTTCATTGTAGTACAAAAATTCCCCACTGGTGGGTACCTGGGCCTCTAGTTACCATTGACCAGTCCTCTGGCTCAGTTTCTCACCAACATTGAGAAGCTTTTTTTTTAATACTGCTGTGGTCATGTTGGATGATCATAGGCTACATGAGTTTATACAGAGCACTTGTTCCTGTTTACCAGAGTTCTTGTCTAAGTGTTGATTTCCTGAGATTTGGCCTGCTGTAATCCCATGTTATGATGAGTTCATGTGATAGTATGTGGATTTCTTTGAGAATATTTGGCCTATGATTTTTTTTGAATATTCAGCAGCAAGATACATACATTCAAAGTCAGTAATATTTTTTTTTGTAAGAGGTGTAATGATGTTGATGATATAGGGTATCAGCTGATTTTCTTGATATCAGTGGATATTTATATCAGCAATATTTGGCTAGCCAATATGCTTATGTTAAAATAGAAACTGATGCACTATCCTCTAAGTATTTTTCATGAAATAAGATCCTGCTAGGCATTCCAGAAGAAGCTTGGACTTACTGCTGCATTTGGCATGATTATCTGATAGAGATGCACCAATACAGGTATGACAGATATTGATACCTGCATACCTGCATACCTGCATGTAATACCTGCATGTGTTGGTGAGGAATGAAAACAAATTAATGAGGACACCACACTTGTGTAATAAAGTCTGGACCAGTTTTTGATCCATGCTCATATCTCAAAAATGCCAGAGGATTTTTATAAATAAACACAATTTGCCCCCTGGTTCAGATTATAGTCTCATCTGGTAAGCTGAATGGAGAGAGGGATACACAGGTCTACTGCTCCTCTCCACTCCTCTGGGAATAGGCCTGGAGGGAGATGGAGAGAGAGGGAATGACACTCATGGACTGCTGTGGTGAAGTAAAAAATTTGAATGTTTTGGCTGTGTGGGTATTAACTGATATCAATCCTCATGATTTTGGCTGATGTCTGATACCCAGTATCAGTATCTGTGCATCCCTATTTTCTGGGTACTTTAAAAAGATTATCTGTAGCTGCCATATTTCAACCCCTGACAGATCTGGTGTCAGTCATCTGCTTATTGGTATTACCATAGAATATCTTGGGACCCCTCCCCATATTGGCATATCAAACCTCAGTGAAGTTTCAATATTATTATGCCTCTGCTTTTATCTGGTAACAGCTGCTGCAGAGTTTTTTTTTTTTTTTTAACCTTGCAAGCTTTTATATAACTTATGGGCATTTTGCATGGGACAAAAAGGTTGCAATCTCAATGTTAGAATTGACATGGCGTCAACTGCATTCACAAAGAATAATGTTGCATTCTCTGTTTGTTCAGCATATTGCATATTTTCTAACTTGCCTAAAGACAGCAATGTAGCTGATGTTTTCTAATCCCCTTTCGGTACATTGCACTAGTTTTAGTTCACAGGCAGGAAAACTTTCTAGGGTAGGTTCTGGCTTCTAACAGTCTGGGAAAACCCTGAAAGCTAATGGCTACTATTTTTTCTATGCTGAATCTGCTTTTGAAATTCTTCCTGCATGTGAGCTTTCATTACATTTTTATTTCTGACTACAGTGAAAATGGGGTTGGGTGTAGAAAAGCACACATTTCCCCAAAATGTTGACCCTTATGAGACTGTATAATTTCCACCATGCAAAATGAAAACAGGGTCTACTTTCTCTCAGAAGGCATTCATTTTTTTTACATCATCCATACTTATAGAAGTGTGAAATTTTCTCATGGAGATCATGCAACAAGCTTGGATGAAGAAGGCATTCTCATGTTGTACTACGTGATAGAGCTGAGAATGCTCCATGATTTTTGTATGTGATGGATGGGCTTCAAGTGTGGAAGCCTCAAGGTGTTTTGTGATCAGTCTTAATGACTGTAGCTGTGTTCAAAGAAAAGTAGGGAAAAAAGCAAGAATAGAATCAAAACTTTAGCTTTTGCCCCTCTAAACCCCTTAGGTTTATTCACCCTGACATGGTGAGCTTCCTTTGTTGAACTCTTGATTTTCCATCTCATCAGATATCTTCACATGGCTAAAAGTTCATCCCATGTTCATAAATTTCCTTTTTTGTATGAGTTGATGGCATGATGAGGAAGGGAACAAGGATAGGGCTCTTTTCATTACATATGACTTGACTAGCTAGTCATTTGATGGACTGACTCACTCAGCATCACTTTTTGGCAATATTCGTCCCCCCCTTTTTTTTTTATTGCCCCTGGTTGATGATTCCTGTAGTAAATGTATTTGAAATAGAAAAAAAAAGAGTTTCACTTCCATCCTTGCCAATCATGGATGATCTGATTTTTTTTTTCAGAATAATTCTCATTTTAATAGAGAAGCAAGAAGGATGTCCCCCCTGCAGCATTCCAATTATTGTCTTGCAGGCCACCTTTGTGGCACAGGGTACAAGGAAAATAGTAACAAATGACTGGCTTCATAGTTCCAAATTTGGTTAACATTATGCCAAATATTTACTGTCTTCCCATCCGTATGGCTTTATTTTTGTGTTTGAAATATTCATGTGCTGAGAGTGCAAACCTTGCATGAGCTTAGTAGGTGTCAAGTGGACATAGGTTTTTCACTTTAGGTCAATGACTTTTTCATAACTGCTCCATCTTGGATCAATAAAAGGGCACAAGAAGACTACCAAATGAATATTATCGGTGCAGACAAATGCTTAGGGTCTTTTTTTTGTTTTGTCTATGGAAATCTCATTGATGTTCATGTTCCCAGGTGATGGTGTGAAGGCTTCTTATAAACACCCTTTTATATTACAAGGGGACAATCAGGATAAGCAACAAAATGCTTGACAGAGAACAGGTGAGTTTCCTCCTTCAGTTTGGTGCACTTGGAATTCACCAGGAATGGGTCAAAGTGAGGTGTGATGGAAGCAGCAGTGTTTTTTAGTTCTGGATATGCCATGCATGTTCCATGAAAGGGGATTGAAGAGAAAAATGTGTCATCCTTTAAAAGTATGCGCAGGCAAACAAAAATGCAAATCGAAATTTTGGTGGCAGCTGCTAAAGGATACTGGCTATGCAGTTTTTAACTGTCAGGTGTCATCCAGAAGCTCTGTTCTATCCAAAGTGAATGCTGCAAACCATTTTAAAATACCTGCAGGAAATAAGAAGTTGTGCCCAGTTATACACATGGTAAACCAATTTGAGTGCTGAAACATTGTGTAATATGTCTGCCTAACTCTCTTGGCCAATAACACAAAAATAGTTACGATATGCAGGGTTCACATTAACTCACTCTAGTGAGTCTCTGACTCATATTTTCTTGGAGGGACTCGTATATTTTCAGAACATCTAATTCTGTGGGACTCATTGACAACCATTTGAACATGTTCCCACTGAGCTGAAGCTAGGTGACAGGACTCGATTTATAAAAACTAGTGCAGACCCTGATGTCTTCATCTGTAAGAACAAGAACCATAATTTCCCTGACATAACCTGTTAATGTTCTCTCTGTGGCTGTGAAGTCACCCCTCTCTATCACCTCATGGACTGTCCTGAAAACTCTAAATCCATTACCACCTGGGGTGAGTGATGGAAAATGACAACATGATCATCTGTGTGTGTGCATGTATAGGCATCCTCTTAGTTTTTTATGTTTCAACTTAGTAGAAGTAAGGGACCTACTACTAGAATGAAATTAAAATTTAAACTTGTAAAAACAGAGAACTTTATTACTCAAACAAATGTTCAAGATGAATGTCTTTCACTGCTTACAGTGGTTTTTGTAGCTGCTCCTGCAAGAGCTTGAGTGGTGTGAATCATCTCTTGGTCTTTCTGCCTCAATTCAAGGCTGGCATGTGACCACCAAGTCTCATTGCTAGAATTTTTTTTACCCATGTGTGATAAACTGGGCTTTTGATTCTCTGCCATTGTAAAACAGCTTGCAGCATTCAGTTAGAATTGAACAGGGCTTTCACATGATACCTGAAACTGAAAATTTTCATGGCCAGTGTTTTTATCAATGGCTACCAAAGTTCAGGTTGATATGGTATGGCAACATCTCTGCTCACACAAGCATTTTTGTGAAACTTTCACTTTGCATGTACGAGGTGTGGCTATTATGTTTCCAGACTGGTTTTATTGCTGAACTTAGAGCCCCACTCCCCTCCTCCCTGAGAGGGAGGAGGGGAGTGGGGCTATGACAGTAACATGGAGGGGAGCCTTAGCTAATAAACAGGCAAGTTTTAATGCGGTCTGACCAGTGCACTGTGAGCTGCGGCCTGTTAAGGTAGACTGTATTTGTTTGCGCTGGCGGATTTGAAATGGAGCGTAATCTCGAGCAGAGAACTAAGTCAAATTTTGTGCTAAACTGGGGAAATCCACAACCGAAACGCTAGAAATGTTTATGGTGATCGAAGAAGATTGCGAAGAAAAGTTTATGGTGATCATACAATGTCAAGAGCGCAAGTTTTTTGTGGTATAAATGGTTTAAAGAGGGAAGAGAAGACGTCAATTATGACCAGCGTTGTAGAGCGCCAGTTACCAAACAAACACCTGAAAATGTCTCAAAAGTTACAGATTTGGTGCATTCAGACAGACGGTTGACAATTAGAATGATAGCTGAAGAGTTGAATTTAGATAAAGAAACTGTTTGAGGGATTTTGAAGGATGATTTGAGCATGAGAAGGGTGACAGCGAAAATGGTGCCTTGGTTGCTGACAGCTGAATGAAAACAAAGGCGATTGGACATTTGTTTGGTTCTCTCAGAAAGAGCTGGAGAAGGAAATATTTTGGAAAGAATCATCACTGGAGATGAGACATAGTGTTATCAATATGATTTGGAAATGAAACGTCAATCCCTTGAATGGAGAACTGCAAATTCACCGAGACAGAAAAAAGCCCGAATGTCAAAGTAAAAAATCAAGACGATGCTGATTTGTTTGTTTTTTTATGTCAACGGAATCATCCACTCAGAATTTGTGCCAGAAGGACAAATAGTCGACCAGATGTTGTACAAGAACGTTTTTAAGAGGTTGTGTGAGGCTGTGAGGGAGGTAAAGGGGCAATCTGTGGAAGGAGAACTCTTGGATCCTGCATCATGATAACGTGCCAGCTCACACAGCCCTGTCTGTCCGAGAGTTTTTGACTGCCAAACGGATCACTGAAATGGATCACCCGCTGTATTTGCCTGATTTAGCCCCCAGTGGCTTTTGGCTGTTTCCCAAACTCAAAAATTTTTTGAAAGGCCACCGATTTCAAAGCATTGAAGACATTCAAACAAATGTGATGCAGGCTCTGAAAGACATCCCGAAAGAAGACTACCACCGCTGTTTCCAGCAATTGCAGCATCGTTGGGATAAGTGTATAAGTTCTGGAGGGGAGTACTTTGAAGGCGATAAATGTGGTTAATTTGTAAGTTAAAAAATAAATGTAAAAAAATAAAGTCTGGAAACTTAATAGCCACACCTCATATGAGTATGTTTCCAACTGATTTGCAAAGTGTCATCAGATTTTGTTGAGCTGAAGCATTACTTTCAGCAATTATTGAAAAGAAGTTTGAAGACATCAAGAATACATTGAGAATGGACAAGAGCTCCTGCTGGTAGTGGAGTGGAGGAAACACTCTAGTACTGTCCCTTCTTGTCATCAAGAGCATGTCAAACTCCTCTTCCATATAAATTCATTGATTGGGCTGGTTGGCTCTTCCAGATGGTTTTCATGAGCTTAATCCCAATGAATAGCAGATAAATCAATGAGTATAAATCCATAGAATTTTCACACAAGCTTCTCCTGACTGAGTTTTGTTGGGTTGAATGGCTAGAAAAATCAGGAAAAACCTGGTTCATTAGCCCCTGATATGATGTCCCAGAAACAAAATTCTTCATCACTCACATATTATTCCTTTCTGTGATATCAACATGTTTCTATACTGCCCTCCTACTGTCTTGCAACATTTATTAACACATTGGCTGCCACAGTGATACTCATGACTTAGTGTTGTGCAACTGTTTACTATCACCAGTGATCCTCATGGCTGCCATGTTAATGAATGAGTTTCTCATGACTGGGAGCATCCAGAAAATAAGCTTCTTCTTTTGACCTCTGATGGTATGAAGGGTGTTGACATTACCATGAAACTTGCTTCAGAATCCATCTGGCTGGCCCAGCTTCTCACAGTGGAACAATGAAATTCCATTAGCTGGAATCAGGGTCAGACTTGTGGCCTAGGGGCCCCATCCCTTGAATCCCATGAATATGAGAAAAATTCAGGGATGGATCATAATTGGATGGATGAAATAATTGGATTGAAGGGATGGATCATGGACTCATAATTCAATATTGATATATAGTTATTATATATTGCAAATTATGACAGTAATAAATACAGTAACGATCATGCATTTATAATTTTTTTTATCACTTCTGGAATCACCCAGGAAATTTCCTGGTTTCCTGGTGGACCAGTCTGACCCTGGCTGGAATTGGATGGTTGGCACAGAATTTAATGCTTCCAGAGAAGTTTGCTACATTGAAAAAAATAATGGACCAGATAGTTTCTTGAGCAAAGTTTGAGAGAATCAAGACACCTTTGGTACTGCTGGCAGGCTGCTTTTACAGACCTGGGAAAAGGCTATTCCTGGGTATTAGCAATTTTTTGAGGCCACAGTTGTATGATAATCTGTTGTTAGTTGCAAAATATTGTTTTGTGGTGTACAATATTGACGGCAGGAAACTTGCCAGATAATGTTGAATGAGCAAGAAGTATTAATAGATTGGATTTAGTCACATATTTTTTGACGAAATGGTCAATGGATTTAATTCAGATCAGATTTGTTTTGAATTGGATGGGATGCAGCAAGAAAGGCAGATATAAATCAGATTGCATTAAGAGAAGCTCTCAACTCATCTCTGATTAGAGATTGCATTCTAACCCAAAATGAACTTGACCTTAACCATAATGTCTCCAGTTTCTCACCTGAAGCAAAATTACACTTAGAGTTTGGACTTATTCCATGAAAGTATTTAATTTCAATTCAGGTTCAGAAGTTTTGTGTTCAGGGTCAGAAATTTGTTTAAATTCATGGTTTTGTTCAGTTAGCTATGATTGTGGGGAGTTCAGTTCAATTCAATTGCAATACATATGACTATCTTTTATAGACAGGTTTGAGGGACAAGGTAAAGATAATATGACAGGAAATAATATCAGTTTGGATGACTGGTGAGATATTACTCAATGCAGATAGAGGGAAATGAGGGATGCTTGGGTTCAGGCAGAGTTCAGTTTGGGTTTGAATCCAATCCTTGCTCCTGATACAGCTGGAGCAACACAAGGCACATAAGAAGCATGCTTTTTGATGAGCTTTCTTCCAACTTTCAGGTGGTGATGACTACTGACAGCAGCAATCCCTTGAACAACATCATAGTTTGGGATCCAACAAATGGTACAACTCTGACCCAGTTCCGTGGTGGAATTTCTGCTCCTCGTACTCTATGTCTGATCAACCAACATTATGTCATCTCTGCTGAGAAAAATCGACCAGTCATCAATGTGTGGGATCTGGGAAAAAGGGTCAAGATCATCTATATTTTATTTTGGATGAAAACATATAAGAGCATGTAGAAAGTTTACAGGTTTTTGTATGCAGGACCAAGGTCATCTGCATAGCATCTGTGGTGGACAGGTGACAGCCCTTTCAACAACTCCTGATGGTGCTTACTGCATTGCAGGAATAGAAGACAAACTACATGTCTGGAACCTGGCCAGTGGGGAACTTGTTTCCGTTCTCTCCAGGTGAGAACCAGCTAGGCTATTATGTGTTTAGTAAATATGCCAGTTGGGCCAAAATAAATTATTTTTCCTTTTTCTTTTGATTGCTACATCTTGACTAATAAATAATTAAGATGTGCTCATACAGTTTTTTGGATGATCATTAACACTCATACCTGATTTAATGCACTTTCTTCCAATGAAACATGACAAGTTCCAACAGAATACAATGGGTTCGAAAAGTTATGCAACTCAACTTGTAAATTTCAAATGACTTTATTAATTAAAACAATTATATATTTAATCCTTCAAAGTACTCCACCCCCCCCCAGCATCTATACGTTGCTGCAGCCTCACCAGCCAATTCTGGAGAGCCCCATGGTACTCACATACAGGGATAGATTTTAGGGCTGAATTCACTGATTAAGCAAGGTCCTGAACCTGGGTACTATATTTGTTTACTTTTGAATGAATATGAGAGGTCCCTCTAGGGCCTTATCTACACAACAAAGCCTATTCTTTTGAATGGTGGTGGTGTTTCAATTGTTAACAGTCTTGTTTACAAAACAGCATGATGATTTGCATAACTTTTTGAACCACCCTTATATTCGGCCTCCTATTCAGCCCTAAAATCTATCTCAGCATGTGAGTACTGTGAGGCCCTCCAGAATTGGCTGGTGAGGCTACAGCAATGTATAGATGCTAGGGGGGAGTACTGAAGGGTTAAATATATAATTGTTTTAATTAATAAAGTCATTTGAAATTTAAAAGTTGAGTTGCAGAACTTTTTGAATCCCCCTCATAATAGTATCTCTTTACGCTAGGTAGAAAATTGCAATTGTTTGTTGTTACATTGACATGCTCAGATAAATGCCCATTAAAGATGTTCAAAGGCTTAAATGGGAACAAAAATATATGAATTCAGGATTGAAATTACCAATGATGATCAAAAGTTACAATAACTCTCCCTTCTGCTTTGACAAAAGCTGTCGCCCAAGCTTGCCTCTGCTTGAAGGATAATTATCTTGAAATGTGAAAGTCATGCTAGCAACTGCAATTTTCACATTTGTCCTGCAAAATAAATATTGCATGGAAACTATTCATTTTATTAGTTTGAAATAAAAAGTATCAATCAAATGTAGAAGGGTAAACTTTTTTCTTGGCCCACCTTGTAGTCTTTCTCATTTGTACTATGAGAAATTCATGTATGTTTGTAGGCATTATCAGCAGATTCGGGTGATTCGATTCACTGACGATGGGAGCTACTTCCTGTCTGGAGGAGAAGATAGCATGGTGGTAGTATGGTCATTCCCTTCAATACTTTTGCAAGAAAGGAATCCAGTGGGAGAAGTGGAACCAAAGGGGGTATGGCTTCCTCATTCACTTCCCATCACTGACATATGCATTGGAGCAGGGGGATTCCTTGCCAGAGTCCTCACTTCCTCTCTTGATCACACAGTCAAGGTGAGACTCCATATTTCATCCCTTTTCTTTCCTTTACAGGATAAAAAAAATTTTTTGAAAACACATGAAAACTTCCTGCCATCCTTTGAAGGACTAGTAGGCAGTAATCACCCAAGATTCAGTCATCACTTGGTTTTTTGGACAGCTTCAAATCCCTTTTAGTTGCAACCCGCATTCTGGAGAATTAACTGCAAGTTTTAGGTCTTCCTTCCTTAGGTAACTCTCATTCAGAAAAAGGTCTGACAACCCTTTCACAGGTAGGTATGCACTGAAATATCAATTTTGCCCTAGGTAGACCTGCTAGAGTATGCATTATTGAGGTTTTAAGTTCACCATACCTAAATCTCTTGTAAATTGATTCTGATGTATTCCCTAGGTTAACTAAACAAATTAATATGTGAAAATAGCACATAATGCAAGCTGTTATTCTGCCAAAAAATATCACTCCAGGTGAGCATACTCACTTGGAAAAACTCATTCATGAAAGAGTTAAGCAACATGACTGACCAGAATTCTTAACAAAGCCTACATTGTTTCCCTCAGGTCATGTGAAAAATTATTTAACCCTTTATAAGGCAATGGCAAATATATTGCCACTCAATATGTTGTGCATAAAATGGTAAAAAAAATAAAATCTGAAAAAATTGAAAATTGTATCAAAACATTTTATTGGTTCCATTTCACCTGAACCAAATTCTTTCCTATTGCCAATTTTTCTGCCTTATAAAGGGTTAAATGAGTTTGTCATATTCCCTCCCTTGAATCTGAAATGAAATTTAGTTAACTTCATTCAATATACAGGGTGTTTCATATATAACTGAACTGACATAAATGCTCATATCTTGGTCATATACATCATATAGTAATGAATAAAAAATTCAATTTGTGCATTTACAGTAGTACTTTCTTTTTCAATCACTGGGGTGATCGGAAATACCATTTTCTTTGGGAGAAAGACAGCTTTATATAAGGAAGAAAAAATGATTAGCTAGTAAAGCAATCAACAGTTGGATGGCTACACGTTGAAAGGAGTCTTAGGTTTTTTTCAGTATCCTTATCTGATATAGTATCTATGATGCAGTGTCCTGTTACACAATGTAAAGGTGGATTGTTCTACCCCTAATGTGGAATTGGTCTTTGCTTGATCATCTCAGAATTCACTGAAAATAAGCAGGTAGTTTTAGTGTATAGTCAAAATTGGAGGTATCCACAGCAAATAAGGATAGAGATATGGAGGTTTAAATTTGATCATGGGGACAAAATATGCCCCCTCATCCCCAGATGCTTTCTGTTCACCCTGCACTTCAGTGATGTTGATATGAATTGGTGGCTTTTCCTCCTTTCAGTTGTTCAACTTGGGAACTGGGCAGCTGCTCTTATCCGTGATATTTGACAGTCCCATCCATTCAGTGGCTATGGACCAGTTGATGCAGTATGGGTTTTGTGGCACTCAAGATGGATTGATTCGCCTAATCAATTTCCATCAGCCAGTGAGTCCTATTGTGGTTCTATTGTCTCTGGGTACTTTTGGGTTTAGCTGGAGGGTATGTGCATTTCATAATGAGATTTCCACACAACTGAAGCATACTATCGATCTGATTTCTATCTGATAGGCAGTCAACCAACACTATGGAAGAATAATTAGAATAGGAAGATACACTTCAACTGGGATCAAGCTTCTCTGAAAAGTAATTACAATTACTCAACTGCATTGCTCATAAAAGCATTCAGTTAACCTTTGTAGCAAAATGTACTTTCATAGACATGGTAGCACATTCTAGTTCCTATGCTGTTGAGGGCACATGTTGATATTTTGTTGACATTTGCAGTAACTGAAACTTTAATGTAGCTCAGATAACAACACACTACTCATCAAACCTGTCATTTATGACAAATATCTGTATTTGCTGTTAGTATTACTAATTAGATCACTGTGTCTGTCCAAAGCCTCGCACTGTGGAGCATCAAGTTACAGAAGAGGAGAGGCAGACCATGACACTCCAGGGACACACGAAGGAGGTGACATGCTTGGACGTGTCATTAGATGGTATTCAATTACTATCTGGGTCAGCAGATGCGACAGTGAAGCTGTGGCATGTCCCCAGTCGTCAGTGTCTCAGAACCATCAAGCACAAAGGACCGATCACAAATGCCATTTTTATCCTCCCATTTGATCTCATGCTTCATTCAGGAAGCAAAAAGGCCTTGGTGAAGCCTCCCATGAGTATACTGTCCCGAGGAATTGAGGAAAAATCCAAAGACAAAGCCTGTGTCCTCCTAAAGGGACAAATGCTTCAAATATTTTCAGTTGATAGAAAAAATGATGAAATTGGACCAACTGAGGCAGAAGACCTCAGTGAGCAAATATCTGCTGGTGCTGGTGTGGGGGAAATGCAGGAAGAGATCATTCAGTTACGCAATGTCAATCGCCGAATCTATGATTATGTTGTGGAGACTCTTCTGCCAAAAAAATAAATGCACTTGCTGGCATTCACATCAATCATGTTCAATTGTCAAAATTGTCAAATTGAAATGAAAAAATTCTACATAGAAATTGTATATTACAGAAAAATATATGGTGTGTTCAATGTGTAATGGAACAACAACAAAAATACAGCAAGTTGACTATCGTATATATGTAGGATGATTTGTATTGTTTCAGAGCATGTTCTCCTTGTTCATCAGAGCAGTCAAGAGACGAGGCTTCATAGCAGGAGAGGCAGGACAAGAGTAGGGCCTTGGCAATTTAGATGGTGTTATTCTCACTAATCCCTTCTCCTTTTCCACCAGGTCTGGCCTAATGGGAGAAAAATTTTAAGAGGTAGGCATAATTAATTTCACACAGAAGTTGCATGTGGCAGAAATGTAAGGGAGTAAGTCTCGTGCAACTCACTTTTTATGGATGTGACTAGGTAGATAAGCATGGTTGGAAGATGCAAGTGTACCCACAATATTTGCCTATGAAAATCCCAATGGCATAAGGTTCAATATGAAATCAGTTATAACACAAATAATAAAATAAAGAGCAATAACATCAATCTGGATTACAAGGGAAGGCAGAGGGCTATACTATTGATATTATCAATTGGAGTCATGAAAAGGGCATGGAAAATATTTGAATATATAGAAAACTCACCTTATCCTTCAAAACCTCAGGAGTGCCAAATTCTCTGGACACAGAGGAGATTGGTGTAGGTGACACTTTTGCAGATGCTAAGATGAGGTTTTCTTTCAGACCTGGTAAAGAGTTAATCACAGACATATTTATGTATCTTTGAATAACATGCCTCTCAATGAGAAAGCCTCCTCCTCCCTATGCCCACTCTAGCTGGTACATACCATAGCCTTTACTCCCTCTTCCCAATTGTTTATCTCCCACTGTGATGATCAGGGTTGTTTCATATCAACCCACCCAATCAACTCACTAGCATCATGACACTCAGAATGTATGAAATTCAACTGTGGGATAATTATGAGCCAAGAAAGACTGAGTGAAGGTACCCAGTTCAGAGACAGGTGGACAATATTGTAATTTCTGACACTAAAAAATCAAAGCAGGATACTTTTTTTTTCCAATGGAAGACATGACTACATGCATCCTGGAACATGCATAATTATTGCAGCAAAGACAGATTTCCTGATGAACTAATTTAAGCAGTAGCACATTTTTTTCTCCACACCTGGTATTTTCGATGCATCCCACCAGACATATTATTCCAATCCTCTTTCAACACCAGCCTTAATTGATACAGATCTATGGATACATTTTTTAAACCTTACTTCAAACATACTCCACATACAGTAATCTGTTGGATTACAGTCTAGGTTGTAAGGATACCATTTATGTTCACTGATAATTTCTGCTACATGGTCTGATAGCCAGGTTTTTACGTGTTGATCAGGGGTGAGGCCCTATTGAAAAACTCACATACCAGCCACAAAAGAGATGCCATGTCTTTTCCTTTCTTATGCATGCAGAAATAGAACATTAATGGCCCACCTTGTAATGAAGCTCTTGAGGTCCTTTGAGAGACACCCATGAAAACAAAATAGGTAAAAGTTCTGGTCCCCTCAATTCAATGCAGTAATTTGAATGCCCTAGAAATGAAGTCACCCAAACCTGACGAGGTAGTTCACCATGCAACATCTCATCTGCATCATCACAGATGAGGATAGAAGTTTCAGAAATAAGAGAATGCTTACACCGTACCTTTCAACCTTGAAGGTTATGTCACGGCCTCCTCAAAAATTACTGGAGTGTCCCTTCAACTTATACACATGGACTCAATTTCAAAGTCCATTTCATTTCTAAGGCATCTACATTTCCCTTTTAATTCCTGATAATAAACATATTTTCTTTTTGAAAATTTAATTACTTTTTGAATCATGCAACTTGGGAAAATTTTAAATTTTTATTAATTATTTTTATCCACTTCCAGGCTACTTGCTTGCCATTATGCACAGTCCAAATTGATATCTGTCTCTCAACCCTTTTATGGCCTCAAGAAAGAGCTACAGATAGGAAATGGTATGCCTTTATCCTTCAGAGTCTGAGGCTGAGAGGAAAAGGGAGAGGTAAGATTGTCAATGAACCAATATCTTCATTGCTACCAATATCATTCAATGCCTATATGCTCTGCAATCTCATAGTCTCCTTTCACTTAGAGAACTGATGGAGTTAGCTAAACTAGCCACAGGGTCAAAAGATCAAGAAGGCTTAGGGAACTTGAGAGGGATACTAGGTCTCTAAAGAAAAGGGGGAAAATCTATTAGATAAAATCAGGGAGCAGATCCCAGCATTCAACCAAGATGACCAAGTCAGAAATTGTCCAGGAAAGAGTGTGTGACAAGGTTTTTTCCATTTACTTGCACCTAGTATCCAATGGATTCTTACTTTTGCCAAATTCATGCCATCCAAGACTTGAAGAAGTTGTTGAATGTACCTTTTATTCTTTAACATCTTGAATGAGCTTAAAATACTTTTTTTCAGTATCGCAAGTATGCATATTTGCTTTGCTTGATTTCAGGCAATAAATTTTTCATTATGAAAGAGGGTATTTTTGCATCAGAGAAGCTGCTTGAGAAACGTTCTCTCAGGCTAAAACAAACTCCATTTTTCTCTTCAAGTTGATATAAACTCAGCCTCTGCTCTTTCCCAAAGACATGGACAGCAAGGAAATAGAGATCTTGGACATAGATTTTGCCCTGTGTCACTTTCGTTTCCTGAAAATGCTAGTGGTAGGTGGGGCTTGCTTGAGCAGATGAAGTTAGAGGCACATTATGATTTCCTACTCAACATAATGTACTAAGCTGTGTTCTTTTTTTTCCCCATTGATTTTATTGTGGGGCAGTCATCATTTTGAAATGTGAATGAAAATCTCTCTGAACCTGTCCCAAAATTTTTTCATGATAAAAATGAGTGTCTTGCTCAATGTACCATCTTAACCAGAGGTACCAACAGTAAACAAAATATAAAATAGTTCCATCCTTTGTCAAGCAAATGACACCAATTGCTAGCTTGCATGGTATATTTTCCATAATTTCTTTGAAATAGGAACCTAATTAATGGACAACCTGTATTTGTGGCCAGAAGAGCAAGACATATACTGGGTGGATCACAAGTATGCAAGGATGGCATCCCTTGCACCATCCAGGAAAATTATGTCATATAATATATTCATCCCAAACTCCATTCCAAAAAGTGCTAAATGAAAATCACTTCACAAGGCTTGAAAAGGAAGAAGAAAACAGGGTCTAGTCATACTTAAGCCTTTTCTTTTAAGAAGCTGTTCTTTCATATTTACTATCTACAGAGAAAATTCCTGTAGGCCTTATGAAAATTGTCAACTTTATAGAAAACTGGAATTTGGAAAAAAAAAGTTCTAGACTTCCAATTGTTGAAGTATAGATTTCTTCTTGACACCAAATTTGAACCTTCAATAACTTTCATCTTTATTAACCACTTGTCAAAGTAAGCTAAAAATCTGAAAAAAGTGACAATTCTGTCAAATATTCTGTATCCAGAGATTTCAGCAAAATACAGGAGGTTACCATATAAAAAATCCTGTTTTTATAGGTAAGTTGATGCAGAATGGCTCCAAACAAAAACCTAATAGACTGAAAAGTTCTTAAGACAGCTTTCTAAAGTTGGCAAAAATATGTTGAGATTTAACAAAAAATTATGCATCATTTGGGCTGTTACTACTGATGCTTGGGATTCCACTCATGAAGAAACAGGCTTAATGGCAAGGTAAATGCTGGAATAAAAGAAGAGGACATTCAGCCACTTATCTTTCTGTCAATGAGGTAATTGGATTCTAAGGTGGCAGATTGTGAATCACTGATAAACATGTCTTGAGGGGAACTCTGCATCATGACAAAAAGTTTCCTTTAATGCACTATTCATTGATGTAGCCAGTTTTACTTAAAATATTTATGCCCTTGCAATTATTGGGTGACCCCATCCTAATCCTGCTCCATCTTGTCACATAGCAAACTAAGGACTATTGATGCAGAAGACCACTCTCCCTCTCCTTGCATCTAAATGTGCAAATTCAGTTGTGCTGTAAATATGTTAAACCAAGCAAATGAATTACTTTGGAAATGGTTTATTCTTATCCTTTTCCAGAGATTTATGTCCATTAGGAGCTTTCAGAAGATCCACTCCAGAATGGCAGCTATGTGAGTGAAGCAGGAGGGATTTCAGCATCATACTGTAGTTTTATCTCCTAATCCCTTTCTTTCCATATTTGTGCCAACTTTAATGATATACAATTGTCAAAGCACCAGAGAAATAAGTGAAGAAAGGAAATATCAGCTCAAGAAGGCACAGCAAGCAAGGCATTTGTCCTTGGAGAAATGCATGAAATAGGATATGAAGACAAGAAATGGGATGTTATAATGAAAGGAATAGGAATGAAAGAAAGAGTGTCATGTTTAGTACAAGGTCTGTAAACATCAAAGCATTACACAAACTCACTCTTAAGTTTTGAAGATATATTAACAGGTGCTTTTGAGATGGAAGATTCATGTTTGTTGCTCTCCTTTGTAAGAGAAGACCGAGGCTTGATGCTCTCCTGTGTAGCTCTACGGGATACTTTATGTTGTGGCTTCAGTTCTGGCTTGAGAGAGGCAATCTCCTCTGTGCTGCTGGATTGAGATTTTGACCCATCCTTGATCATTTTTGCTAGCGGAAGTATGGCTTTCAGTGGGGCTCCTCCACTCTTGTTGGTTTTTATGTTTCCTCCAGGGATGACTTTCACTGCTGGGACCTTCCTTTCCTGGGGGAGACTTCGATGTTGGGTAGGCTGGGGTCGTATGTCATTCATAGTTGGAGTTTGTTTGCGCAAAACCTTTGGTGAAACTCCAAGGCTTGCAGCTGCCTGTGTGACTGGGGTCACATTTCTCTTGGGATTACTCCCTCTGATTCGCAATGAAGCACTTCGGGAGAAGGCAGGTTTCTCTACCTTTTGCAGAGGGGGGATATTTTTATAATTCTTGCTGGAGTTTACTAGTTTTGGTGATCCTTTAAAGCTCTTCAATGTGCCAGGTTCCTTGCTAGGATAGCTTCCTTGATCTTGTTCCTTCTCCTTCATCACAGATCTTGAAGGGGTCACTGAGCTACACAACGTCAGTGATGCACGGAGTTTCGAGTATCTTCTCACCACTTCTTCAATTGAGTTTTTCTTTTCCTAGAGGATAGAGCTCACAGTTTCAGGCACATGCCACTCTAGGACTTCAAAAATAGATAAGTGACTATCAGAATATGATGAACTCACAGGCTCTTTTTGATTGCTCAGAAGTGGTGTTTCAAAGGCAATGAATCTATTTTTTTGTTGAAGAACTGGCAGGAGTTCATCTAGAGTAATAAGGGACCCATTCAATTTCCCAGTTAAAAAGCATTTGACATAAACACATGTGGGACTACAGGGGAATTGCTAACCTTGCCATGGATCACCATTCTCTTCAGAAATCCCATTTTCTTTTTCCTGCTCTTGGACATTTAACTGAAGCTCATTGAGGACTGACTTAGCTCCACTGAGAATTTCATCCAAGTTGGGTTCTCCAGCAAATTCCTCTAAACCCTGAAATGCAACATAAGCTACCTTCAATTCTGAATATTACATATATACAGTCGAGTTAGGAATTGAAGTTTTTGGTTTGTTCTTGATGTCACTCTCTGCAAACCAGGAACTCACAGGAATTATTCCAGTTTTTGCAGGTTCAATAGTCTTCAAAAAGTCCTCATCCTGCAAAGCATAATCTGTAGGCACAGGAAAAGGGAGAGAGGAAGTGAATTTATGGGTTTTAAGAGTCAGTTCCTCTCTAGTAAATCAGAATCAAAATAAATGCATTTGGCAATGCTTCCTGAAGCATGTAGACCTACCATCATTAATGAGATGAAAGGAGTCATCAGAGAAGTCCAGGGAGCTAACAGAAGGTGCCTTTGTGAGACTTATTTGAACATTCCTATCTTTAGCTGCTGACTTCTCGCCAAAGTCTATCAGTAGCCCAACAGGACACCCTGAAGTGAAAGATGTCAGATGGCATTAATGACATGCTGAGAAAGCATTTAATAGAAAAATAGAACAGAACTCGCCTTGAAGAAAAGAGTTTGAGTCACCTTGGGAACTTGCACTCATTTCTGCCTCCTGCATCAGTGTTGAAAAGTTGTCTTCTTAGGCCTCCAAAAAAAGAAAAGGCCTTTTCCCTCTGTCTTCAATTCCTGAACAAGTTTCTGAATAAGTCTATGGCATGACATAACCCCTCCAAATGTTATTCAAGGACAGTTCCAGAGTAACAGGGAAAATGTGGTATAAAAATGCTTTCTTAAAATTCCCTCTGAATTAATTTTTCTGCATTGTACAGATACTAAACTTAGACTAAATAAGGGATTCACTAAGCATGAATCACTTGACAGATGGTTGTTCATTTCTTCAGCAACAACTCCATTTTGATCAATTGAACACTTTCTTTGTGAACCTTGTTTTGGACTATTTGTTACATCAGTAACACTCCTAACTCTCCTGATCATTTCCTTTTCAATCAACAAGAAATGTCATTTGATATGAAGAAATGTGATAGTCTATGCCTGCTTTCTTGAAAATATGGATGCTGCAGGTCAAGCCAAATTCAGACATAATTGGAAGGGAGCCAGGAGAATGAAAACTGCTGTTGAAACTGAATACTACCAAAGGACCTAGCAAACTTGCTGAGAAACAACCAACACAGCCACTGGCAGGTTCACAAGTTTGCAACCAAGTGCAGGGAAGGGAACATCATGATCCTGTAAGTCCAACTCACTCACCAGAAGCTGATATAACAGGCATGAGACGTGTCCACATTTGTCATGTCAATCCCCTCTTACTGGTGGGTGATAGGCATTGATATCATGAAATAAAAGTATGTATGGTAATTAGAAGCTAAAAGAGAACTATCAAGCCTTTCTGAATAGTATAATCAATCATACAATGCTCCAATAGTGCCAGGGAAACATGAGGTATTGGTCCATTTTCACTTGCCCTAACTCCAAATGTACACAACAACTTTGTCATTTTGTCCAAAATCCTACCATAGCAAAAAAAAAATTGACAACACTTCACACCATCAAAACAATAAGGGTATCTTCCAAGTTGGTTAAAAAAAATGTGAATTTGAAAAATGAGTGTCTTCACTTCTTGTGAGATATGAAGATTATCACTTTTATCCTTCTGTGTAATATCCCATAGTGGAAGAAAAGTTGAGACAAATATTCCATCAAATCCTTTATTTTGTATTGGTCTAGAAAAGGATACCTCAGGACACTCCTTTGCCAATATTTGGCAATGGCATGATATGCCTAGCTCAGGCTTCATGGCTAATGCAAATGTGTTCTCATGCCAAAGCCAAGTGCAAGGAAAACAGAGCTATGGCCCTTTTAAAGTTCTTTGGTTAAACTCAAGATGCTCAATCAAGGCATAATTGGCTCATCATAGGCCTACAGTTGGGGCTGGATTAAGATTATAAGGGGCCTAAGTTTGAATTACACATTGCAACATCAACAAAAAAATGGAATGGAGGGCCTAAAAATATGAGGGTATAAGGCTATAGCCCGGCGGTTCCTAAACTATGGGTCGCGAGAAGCATCAAGGTGGGTCAAGCACGTTTTCCCAGTATAATAAAAAAAATCACTATATCCGCATCCGCTCAGGATAAAACATGCTCCACAGAAAAGGTAGATCGTTATTCTTCGTCATAATTACTTTGAAAATACCTCGATCTGGATTCCGGTGGGTCGCGAAATTTTCTGAACGTCTGCAAGTGGGTCGCGATTCAATTAAGTTTTGGAACTGCTGTATTAGCCTATGGGTTAATCCGGCCCTGCCTACAGCGCTAAGGCTAACGTTTAGGCCTAACGAATTAAAGGAAAATCGAATATTTCTGAGACCAAGCCTAGCCTACTTATGAGCTTCGCCAAAGCAAGCCTAGGCCGTGACTTCATTAATGTTCAAGAGAGATTCACCGAGAAATGGCTATCCTACGGTACTACCAAGGGTGGTGAAAAGCAGTACCAGATTCACTTGAATCCTGTATTAACCACCCTACCCGCGCGGCCCCTGCTTTGAATGGACGGGCATAGGGGCCTGGACTCAGTGTTGTCTCCATTCTGTGCGCTGCTGAATAAACTGCTTCTGAGTGTACGTGTTGAGGGGTTCACCATTCATTAGTGTAAAGTAGCTGTCATTTGAAATTAAGCAATTTGATAGAATTGTAATCGTTATGTTCTTTCTGCCTTTGAGAAAATTTTGCACTGTGATCCCGCAAGAACGAACACGTTCGGACTATACCTTACGGCATCACTGCAAGAAAAATTATCAGAACGGAAGGGACTTGTATTGTGATTCTCACATGGGCTGCGTCCACCGTATAGTGCTTTATGTAATGCAGCGCAATCTTTCCATCATTGCTGATTGTGCTACTGTGGGAAATGCAAGAGTACATGTACAATCGAGGGGAGAACTGATTTTTTGTTCAGTGATTCCGGGAGGCATTTAGGTGTGGTCATTCATCATTCAAAAATTCCAGCTTGATTCTCATGCTGGATCCAAGCTGGTCTGTCAGACAGGTTTCATGCTGGAACTTGAGGGAAAACAGGACAGGATGTGATTGGAACCAATTTGGTTTCAGGTTTTGAACCAGTTGGGTTCCATTCATAGAGCAGTAAGAACCAAGCTGTTCCAGGCTTCATTCCAGGCTCCAGGGCCACACAGAGGGGGTTGGGCAGATGGGGCAATCTGCCCTGGGCCCCAAGGGAAGCCTCCAAAAGGGCCTCAAGGGGCCCCCCCAAAGGGTCTCCAGTTTAGTTTTGCCCAGGGCCTCTAGAAACCTCTGGGTGGCCCTGCCAGGCTCATGCCAAATGGGTTCATGAGCCTGTTCATCAGCTGTACATGGCAACACCAGAGACTGATGGCACTCTTTTCCCTTCAAGCTCAGACTTATCAGCACTTAGTCTGACTTTGGGAAAATCTGGCTTTTCACTTAATGGATTGTAACCTTTGTGATTGTGACCTTTTTCAGTGAATGGGTTTATTTTGTAAGTTTTCAGAAACTTGTGACACTTGAGTGCTTTGGTTGTACTACTGGTGCTGCATCTCAATGAAAGCATTGAAGGATGGAACAGTTTCAGCCAAATATCACATCCCAAAGCAAAAGGAACAAATTTTCCCAATTATTATCATGGTTGCCTCTTGAAATTCTAAAAGATGAGGTTTAAAGTTTGAACTTATCTTCATGAAATTAAAATTTAATTCCCTTAAAAGGGAAATAAATGTAGTGACCCTTATTTAAGAAATAGCTTTGGCAACCAAATGGACTACACTTGACAAAGTTTACTCATGTGCTCACATATCATCTCCTGCAAGGCTAAGACTATCTCACTAGCAAAGAAAATGCAATGCAAGGCAGACTTGAACATCAAGGAGGCAAATAATGACTCTTGTTCTCAAATGAATGAATGACTCTTCTCTCTTTCTTTGTTTGCTGTTCCATGGCAAATAAAGAGCTTGTTTTCGCTTGGCCTTATTGATACTCCTTACTGGTTAGGTTAGGGAGGGTTTTGATAATCCTTTAGGCCTGGAAGATGAACTCCACTTTATTATTCACCACAGGGGAGAGGAGACAGCTGCCTGTTGTTGTCATCCTGCCCCCTCTCCTTTGGGACTCTAATCTGGAAAACCCCTCATATTGCATAAGTTCATATATGATAGTGTATTCCTGGAATCCTAGCCCTCATCATTAAGGTGTGACATGACTGTACAGCTCAGCAATTTGGGATCAAGTACGTTGGCTATGTCTTGCCAAAATTTGAATTGAATTGCTTTTTATATACATGGATTCTGGTCATCAAACACCTTGCATAAGTTACAACACAAAATAATACAACAAAAGACGACTATAATCATAAGTCTAGGTCAATTACAAAAAATCTCTTTGACAGAAATGCATACAAATATGATTTTTGAAATTTTTATGTGTTGGCTTTTGAATGGCGAATACCATTTCTGTTAACAGGACCACCCTATTGTCCAATGGCATTTTGAATGTCTGGTCTCAAAGGATGATCTGAACTCCTTGAAATGGGCATGGCCAGGACAGTATATAGAGAATTTACCTTCTTGACAAAATTGGTAACATACACCTTGCTGTTCATACATTGTTTTGCAAATGATTTTGTACCACCTTTAACATGGGGTCCATGCTTTTCTATGGAGGAATCCTACCAATCTGGACGGTGGCGCTTTAGTCGTGCCACCTGGGCATCATTCAACATATGTAGTGTCAGCTATAGTAGATTGGAGAATGTTGAGGCCAAGAATGAAGTACAAAGGAAATTGTTTTGTCTTTTGCGAGGAAAATAATGGGTTGGAATACCAAAGGGTTTACCAGAGAGTCCAAGAATATGTGGAATGAGAAATCGCTCCTTGGAAACTTTAAGGGAAACAATCAAGTATTTGTAGAAGGGAGGAAGCATATAGATGCCAAATGCAAGGAAGGATAGCTACGGAACAACATCTCAGGCTTAGGTCAAGTAATCCATTGCACCTACAGAGTGTTTGTTTCTGCTAAATATGAGAAAAATCAAATCAAAGATGTCGACAGTCATAGCTATCTTCAAATACACAGCCTAACATAGACTCAGGGCCACCCAGAGGGGAGGNGGCGGGGGGGGGGGGGGGGGGGGGGGGGGGGGGGGGGGCCTCCAAAGGGCCTCAAGGGGGCCCCCAAGATGTCTCTGGTTTAGTTTTGCCCTGAGCCCCTGAAAACCTCTGGGCAGCCCTGCATAGACTTGAAGTAGGTCAAGTATTTGATGTCCAGGCCTCGGGACATGAGAGGGCATGATTGCCCTACCTGGTGTTTGGCAATGATCATGTGTCTCAACAACTCTTCTATCCTTTCATATGGGCTGCACGATGTCATCTTTGCTGTATGGCAGCTCCCAAGAGACAGACTGATGCAATGTGGCACTATGGAGCAGGAGGGAGACATCTATCCTCAGGAATGGAAACAATAGTTGGACCTCCTCTGCCACCGCATTGCATGCTCCATTGAGTTACCTTGTGCAATGTTAAAGGTGGTACAAATTCATTTGCAAAGCACTGTATTAGATACAGAGGCAAGCTTCTTCAACAACTTCAGAAGTGGACATTTGCTTTCCTCAGTCAAATCACAGTCCTTTTCACCACCCATGACCAAGATTAGGGATATATACAGGGTATGGCAAAAGAAAAGACCTACAACTTTTAACCTATTTATCCATCTTCTTCCTGAAGCATTATGTACAGGATGCTATGAAACCTTAGTCTTCCTTTCCTCTGCAGTAGACCTGTGTGATGGTGAAGCAAGACAGGTTTCAATTCTGAATTAAGTATTCCGTTCTCCATTTACTGCCGAAGTCTCAATTTTGTTTTTACCCACCACCTGCTTGATGATCATCTAGATTATGTCACAAGAGGGGTCTGGAACTCCCTGGAGTCTGTAGGAGAGATCCAAACATACATGCAAGAGGAAAATAAGAGTTACTATCACTTTGCAAAGTGATAGGCATGTTATTGGCATAGTTGCACATTGGCTTTTAAAATTTTTGACATTATCCTTAGATATTTTTTTATATGGATGGAGTCAGATTTTCTCCAAATTATATGGTTTTGTTAAGTTCTTATTCCTGGACAATGGCAGTGGTAGTGCAAATTACCAAAAGAGCTAATTTATAGATTCATATCTCTGATTGAATCCAAGTTGTGGATTAACTTGTGTAATGTGTGGAATTACCACATACAGTATATGCTTTAGCCCCCTGTGGCCAGCT